AAAAATACAAAATGTTTTACTTGATTTTAAAATTCTATCCTTGTTTTTTATTGATAATATTTCACTTTTTGGATAATTTTTTTTTTTGAAAACTTTATGTAATAGGTACATAATATTTTGGTGTTGCCATTTCGACAATTAAAAAGTCTATCGAATTCGTAAAAAATATTAGGGGTTTCCATTAAAAAAAATGACTACCCAAAAAGTATAGAATTTTAAAACAAGTTGAAAATTGTGTATAAGGTGTTCTAGTGAGTTGGTAAAGTTCATTATTCAAACAGATATAAACTTAATTTAATTAATGTGGCCTAAAGAAAATTACAATTAATGATTTCTTTTTAAATTGGTAAAAACTAAGGAAGTATCGAGAGATCAAGATAATTTTTCTTTGTATCCAAAAACGTATGTCCTGTGCGTATGTCTGTGAAACGCCAAATAAAAGGACAAGTGGAAAGGTAAAATCCTATGATCAAAAAGATAACTAAATTTATGACTTACCTTCAAAAAGAACGGTCTTATTATTACACGTCGGCGACTAATTCCAGCCCATTTTGCCGTTTTCGACTTGTCATTTTATTTGACGTTTCATCTGTAGTTAGTTCAAACATTTGACAATTAAACTTATTTTTATTTGTTGTTAAATTCGTTAATTAAACAATTTGTCTGTCTTAGAAAATTTATTAATTGAACTAAGTGTAATTAAATCATCGCTTTGATCTGCTGACTACCCGTTATTATGCCACAAATCACTATTTTTGAAAGTAAATAAATGAGATTATTGATATAAAGGTTGTTTTAGAGTTTACATTACGAAAAAGACAGTACTGCCCGAAATTTTAATTCCGCAACTGTACGTTTTCGGATCCAAAAATGACTCGATTACAAATTATTTTGATCTATCGGTATATGTATGATTTGTATTAATAAGTGTGATTTAAAAAGAATTCTAATGTTTTTATTTAAAAAACTTTAGGTCATAAGGTTTTTATATTAAAATTTAAATATAAACAATTGAAGCTTTTGGTGGCAAGTTTGGGGGGGCCCTGCCCCCCTCCCCTGGATCCGCCCTTGAATATGCAGATGTGATATCACAGAGTGGTGTTAAACCAAATAAATATTTGTAATTTTCCGTTTCCAATGTGAAAAAATCAGCTACATGTTAATTTTATAATTTAACACTACCTTTACATGCCTATGTAGACTTACATTACGGTTTGACCAAATCTACGTAGCGTGTAAAATTACATGAAAGTTTGTGTAAATTTTTATAAAAATTAAAGCTATAATGTGAAATTACGTTTATTTAACAAAAAATTAAACAAAATTACAAAAGCCAAGAGGGCAACACAAACATCCAAACTCGAGGAACGCGCACTTCTTCTAAGTCTCGAGACCTTACGACGACTGCGCCGCAAAAGGGTTAGTTCGGTGATTGGGGCGCTGGGCATTTCCGCTATGGCGGCGGGCTTTGCCGTTACAAAGCAATATTACCGTAATAATAATAGTACAGTAATTTTGCAATAAAACAAAATATTACTAAAATAAATAACATAAAAATAATTTTCACTTACCGTAAAATGGTAGACCACATCTTCAAAGGCAGTCGGAGATTCGGCAGGGCGAAATTCGCAGTCACGAGGAAAGAAAACAGTTGATACATCTTAGAAAGCAAGGCTTCAACCGATTTTGTTATGGTGGCCACTTTTATATACTTTCTCTTTTAGAGTGTTCAATTGCAGTGGAAGGGAGGGGTGTTTTTTCCTATTTTTAAGACTAAAACCCTGTTTTGAATTTTTTTATTTTGTACTCAATTGTGGTGGGCCAAATTGACCCACCAATTTTATTGTAAAGAGAAAAGGAAAGGAACAATCAAGTTGACGAGAGAAGACAACGATTTAATTTATATAACAATTAAAGTAAATTAATCTATTTAACTTTATCAAATAATATTGACCAAGTATGTCAGCAATAAGCAATTAAAACACATATCCATCCAAGAGTTATGAGACAACCCTCATAAATCTCAACAGATAAGAGTTTTTGCAGATACAAAGGTTCCCACGAGAATTATGTTTTTTTTTGAAAAACAAATAATTTTTTAAAAATTATATTTTATTCGAACAAGCAGACTTATGGGTTACAACTGAACTTAACTTACTTAGTTACAAGGGGGTTTTATATGTTAAATGGGGTAAATAATATTTATTTTTGATAATACAAATTACTATTGATAAGTTGTTTTGGTTTGTCTAAGGGTGGGTTTCACCAACATTAGTTAAATAAATTAACAATCCGTTAACGCTATTCTATCAATAAATATGACAGAAGTCGTTTCACCAACTGCAGTTAGCGCTTAACTATAGAATAAATAGTCCATTAAATTAATTGGTCGAATTTCACCAGTTAAATCTTCCGTTAAAATAATTTGACAACTGATACGTCACATTTTTTTGATTATTAATAGAAAAAATGAATTTTGCAATAGATAATCCGTAAGTAAAAAGAAAAATATAGCAGAATTGTAATAGTTTTATCAAAAGGAAGCTTACGTCCTCTTCCTCATCGTCTGATTCTTCTTCGGAAGAAGAAGTGCCAGTCGTAATCGCAAGACCTCGACCTGTCCTACGAGAAGATCCTTTTGAGAAATACGACGACAGGAATGTTAAAATGAGCTTTAGGTTTTCAAAAGATGCGGTGGTGGAAATTTTGGATTTTATACAGGATGACCTAAGGGTTTTTTCTAATAGAAATGACCCAATTTCTCCGCGTTTGAAATTGTTAATAACTTTAAGATTTTACGCGACGGGGACATTTCAAATGTATGTAGGAGACTTGGTGAATGTGTCAAAATCTTCAGTGTGCCGTATTATTCATCGAGTGAGTAATGCTATAGCAGCGTTACGACCATAAGTTTTTTTTTTTTACAATGTTCATTTTATTAATAAATCTATATTACATTTAAGAGCATTTTTTCGACGTCCTTTTTAAATTTTCATAGAGCAACCTCAGTTGTGTTGCTGATCTGGGCCCAGTTTTGGCAACGGCATTAAATTGGTTGGTTATTCTGTCCCAGACGATTTTTTTCTGTTTTGCTGAAACGGCGTCTGTTTTTTTACATTCTAGAATTGACTTGTTTTCTTTAACCAACTCTAAAAGAGTCTGTTTTTCCTCTTCTATAAAAATCATATTCCATCCCTTAAGACGACGCCTCGCTACCCAACACGACCTTGAAATTTCGTAAGTCGAATTTAGCTGTCACCAACAGAGCCAGGGCTGTAAATGTGTCCGGCTACCCTCCCAAGTAATTTACTATCTACATTTATGATCAGTTCGATCAGTTTGCAAGTTTGAGGCCTGTGTTTTGTTATTTGAAGCAAACTCGCTACAAATCTTGTAATAATAATGATGTTTTAAAATAAAAAACAAATACAATATATTTGTTTAATTAATTAATTAACGTCATCTAAAAAGCATTTGGAAAATAATTTTTGTGAATATGTAATTTATGGTAATTTAAGAAAATAAATGTTGAATAAATTTGTGCAGATTCAGTTTTAAATAGTTTATTTATTTATTTACTTTACATTATAGGAAGATATCCCGAATTGGCATGCTACGAGTTTGTCGAGGATTTACAAGTTCAGRCAATAAACATTTTTTATAAAAATTTTGTAAACATAATGTCATTTTAGTTTCCCAAAACTTATCATTTTTTTCAATTTTTTCAATTTTAATTTTATTTGGGCCAGTCCATACTCCCAAAACACATACCTGTTTTTGGGTGACATGTAACTGGCCCTGTATCTGGTAGTACCAATCATGATTGTAATTTATTTCTATTTGTTGKTTTTTTATATGCCAAAATGTTATTTTCTTCTGAACAATAGCATCTTCAGGTGTAAGCCCCAGTTTGTAGGCGGTGTATGGGCACTTAATTTCCACCAAAGTGTTGTTATCTATAATGCYATCAGGTGATGCTCCTAAATAACAATCTATAAAATCTACAAATAAGCCGCAAGGCTTTATTTTAACATTTAATAAATTCTCAATTTCTCTTTTGGCAATATCTTCACAATTTTTCCCATGATTTAGTGACGCCACTTGAAGATTTTTTGTCCCATACAATAAACTTTTCACAAGTTTGGACGAATTAGTATTTTTTCGTCGTTTGCAAATTTTGGCGAAATTTGAAGCGGTCAATAATTTTCGTCGCTCTTCCATCCACCTTCCACTGCTGCTTTGAAAACGAGTTTCTTCTTCCAATGCTTCAATTTCTTCTTTTGACCGCTTCAACTTCGTAAGAAACTCTTCTTCTAGCTCCCGGTAGACTTCAATTGGAAGGTCTGGCTGTTGACATGAGTCGCCGTAGTCACAAGTCTCATTGTTTTTTSCACAAACAGCTGSTTTTTTGTAATTTCTCGTTTCTCGTTTCATTTTTTGCCGCCGGTTTTTTTGCAGACGTCTCACTTCCATGCGCCGCAGAATTTTTGAATTCCTTAGAGAAGATTTATTTCGTAAAAACTCGGAATGAACCATTTTAGTATTCCACGTGACTACAGCAGCTGCACATCGCATCTTGTAGGAATTTGATAATGCAAAATTGATCCTTTTTCCACCAACGAATTTCGCAACTATTGAATTATATTGTTCGACGGTGTTGCTGTCTMCGTCGTACAATAAACTCCGAGAATGATTGGCAAGAACGGTACAAATGTTTAAAATTTTTTCAAAAAATTCTTTCGATAGCTTTTCTATCTCATTCGGTTCCCCGGTTCTTGTACAAAARTATGGTAAACATTTACTGTGCTGGCCAAAAACGTGGWGCGCAACATTCAAAATATCGCTTCTTAGTGCCTTCGTGGCAGATACTTTGTCTTTTTGAAGTTTGTGGTGCTTGATCGCACCTCTAATTCCCTTTCGCATACGCATTATCTTTGTGTCYAAAAGTTTTCGTTGTGGCAGTGAAAAGAAAGTATTAGTCGTAAGATTTTTTAATTTATTGCAAAAATTTCTAAGTAAATGATTACGGCATTCCACTTTCTCTACGGTTAAATTGTCATATGGCCGAGCTTCAATGATTTTTTTATAAGTGYTACTGTCACCATCTCCAATCATAATRTTATATTTTATTCCATGTTGTTGTACACTGGACTGAAAGCCCTTCACCAATATTTCAGATTCCATGCTTGCTGAACTTCCAAAATGATTTTTATTACAATTATGCAATTTATCCCTTCCACCTTCTCTAGTGCAAATAACACAATACTTGTTTTTCACACCATAGAACAAAACTTTTTTTGTATATTGTCCAATTATAGCTGCCACCCCTGATAACGCACTGTAGTTACTGCGATAACTTCTTTTGGACCAGCAACCGTCCACCACAACTGGTACTAATGGAAATCCCTGTTCATCAACAGAATTTATGGAACGAGCGTATTCTGCTTCTTCCTCTCCAGCCTTACTCATTACGTYTTCCGCAGTTTGTTGCCATTGTGGTGCTAGTTTGTGGTGATATTTAGAATATGTTTTTGAAGACATACACGGAATGTTTAAACATGATAACCATTCTTCTAAGTTATAAAAACCTCCCCCAATTGACATGATKCCATTTACAGCGCACGTATTTAAATCAATTTGATTATCAGGGGTAGTCTTTTGAGAATTTAAATGGAAAGACAACCCACACATGTCACATTTTAAAATAAATTTCGAAATCAATCCTGTCCGAATCTCTTTAACTAACTTACTTTAACTGTACATTTTGTAGAGTGCATTCAAATACTTTTGAATGATTCGAGATTTCTTGAAGACTTTCGAAAATATATTGGAAATCTATAATTCGGTTGCCTTCCACGGGTTCTATAAAAAGAAAATTAGATACTCAGCAAATAACAAAAATTTAGCAGGTTTTACCGTATGTGGGAATTTCCTTAGATTTATTTATAAGAGAAATGTCTTCCACAGTTTCCAAGAATTCTTCTGGTGTATTATTAACAGTTTCTGGAGATGTTTCAGCGGTTTCCTGCGGAGATGTAGCGTGTTCAAAAGATGGAACTTCTAGGTCTTCTTGTGGATCGCTGCAAATCTTTGACAAAACATTTTTTATAAAAAAACTCATACCAGGTGAATAAAAAGTATGGAATCAGACGTTTTTTGCTTAAAGTATTTTTGTATTACTTTAATTTATATTAATCATTATTTTCTGGAGGCTAATGATATTTACTCTGTATAAGTTGCCATTTTAATAAAAAAAATCGCATAACTCAAAAACAAAACAAGATTTCATTCTCAAGATACGATCACTATAGTACTTTAATTGCTATTAATTATTATTTTCTAGAGGCCAATGATTAAAAAAAAAAAAAGAAAAAGATTACTTACATTTTTATTATTCCGTAAGTTTTCCACATTTCCCTTTCTGCGTTTTCTAGATGAAAGCCTTCTCACATTTTTTTCATTTGCTTTGGCCATACCGAAATCAAAATAGACCTAAATATAGATAATAGGTAGGAATATTAAATAATACATAAAGATTTTTTGAAGTACTTACGTTCAATACAATAATAAAAGTAACTTTCACTAAATATAACTAGAACACAAAACTAAAAACACAACACTAAACACATACACGAATTAAAACTATTAAAATTTTTAACAAAGACCGAGATAAACGAAAGACTTCTTGGAGTTGTCCAGACGAAAATCCAAATGAAGGAAAATTTGTCTAAGATGCCCTTATGCCTGAGCGGGTAGCGGGGAACGGATTGGAACCACGGGGGATCGGTTTCAGTTTTGTCAATTTATACCTATCTCTTCAATCACAACTACTGTTAGATGTGTTATAAACATTATTAAACAAAGGTTATTTAATTAAGATTTGCTGAAAATTATAAAAAAAAATAATTAAAGGTAAAATAAAATGGATAGATATCGATATTACAATGTAGGTATTGGTTTATTTACTTCAGAATCCACAGAAAAGCCGCTGTTTGGAAACAAAATTATCCCAAGTAACTTAGTAGGTACCGAACGGTTGGATGCGGGTAGTACCATAAAGTAATTTAGAGATTGTACTTGCGGTTGCAGGCATTAGCTTTTAAGGGCTGGTTGTAAATTACAAATTTTAAACGGAATTTTAGATTGAAAATAATTCTACCACAATAACGTTGTTATTTATTAAGATATTTTCGTCGAATTTAAAACTATCGTCATAAATGTATATTTTCTACGTTTTAACCGAGGGAAATCCCCTAAATTCTTTTTAGTTTCTGAATTAGACAGTTTGACGAATTTCTCATTTTTATGGAAAATTTGTTTTGTATTTAAATGACTTTAGAAACAAAATTTTGAAATTTTGCTCGGTTAAAGTGTACAAAATTGAATGCTCTTTCAAATAGTGTCGGTTTTACTAAAATCCGTTGATTAACTTCTTCTCTACAGTGGCAGAACTATACATTGAATGTTCCATAAAAGAGTTAGGTAGCGAGGCTCATTAAAACGTTTACTGACAGCGACCTTTCTTCTGAAAAACTCAAAAATCACTGTTATTGATATCTTACCTTTGAATCAATTGATTTTATCAACTTTATTTAGACACAAAATTCACTGACACTCACAGTTCTTGGTACATTCGGACTCAAAACACAGTCAATAGACGGCTATTTGACAAATAACTAACTAACTGCTAAAACACGTTGGTGAAATGAATTTAAATTTAACAAAGCCGTTAAATTTAATTAATGAATAACTAACTATAGATTTAATTGTTGTTGGTGAAACCCACCCTAAGTATTTTGGATTAATAATGCTTCTAATACAACTGGCGAAACCGGGTAATTTGAGATGTTTACACCAAAACCACGGGGTTTCGGGCCATTGAATAACTGATCCTTTTCTTTTGAGTGTTTCTCCTCTTGCCTCTGAATTGTACTCACTAGTTTTAGATCTATTTTATATTCATTTTGGGTTCACCCACTTTTACTTGTTAGATTAACTTAGAACCTAGTAAATCAAATAATGAAACTTGAACTTCGTTATTAGAAACTACAATAAATTGTTCGTTTGTCTTAATTATTATTGGACTTAGCTAGTAAGATTTCATTTGAATTAATTGTTCTTATTAATCTTTAGTATAACCCTTAACTCAGAAGGGGTTTCGCTAGACGTAACTTTTTTCTTTTATTTTTACTTTGTAATACTTTCAAAAATCTTAATTATTAGTTTAATAAATTGTTAATATTATTTTCGAACACATGAACTGCTTAAATCCTTCATCTTCCCAAAGTGATTGGCTCCACAAAATAACGCTGGAGAACCTACCTCAAACAAATTTTATTCTTCTTGTGGCGCAACCCGCTCGGACCGTAAAAGAATTCAAAACTTTTATCAAAGAGTCTTAAACACCCGCCACAGATGAATTGGCGCAGTCAGTAGGATACAATTGCTTTTGGGAAAGATCAATTCACTTAATGATGAGATTGAATTAGAGGCAAAATTAATTACTCGAACAAGATGTCTGCGGATTCTTGTTTAGTTCTTATTTTTTTATTATATTTTTGGTTTGTTTAAAATATTAAACGTTTATGGGAATTACGGAGATGTTGGGTTACAATGACGCAAGAAATAACTATCACCACAATTTATTCATAAAAAATATAAAATATGTAAATGACATACTACCCTCTCCAGGCCCATACTGTGCAATTATGGCCTCTACGGGACCAAAAGGCCCCCAGGTCCCCTTGATGGGCCCACTGCCGCGTCGCAGAGGGTGGGCGTGCCACCCACTTAATGGTCACTCGGACCACCATCTCTAAGATGGTGGACGGCACCAAATCCATGATACGGTCCACGTCCCACATATCGATTTGGGGGTCGGCTATTAGCTCCCCCATGTAGTCATTTAAATAGCCCGCGGGCCTACCTCCACCTAAAAAATAAAAAAAATTTCAACCAAAATTAAATAAATAAATCAAATTTCGGTAATAAAGTGTTTAGAGCAAAACATTAGGATCAAAGTGACTAAATATAAGGACATTTATAAAAAATAATAAAAAAATTTTAAAATTAGATAGCTATATTACAAATCAGACATGCGATAACTTAAAGCAACTTTTAAAAAAAAAATTAATCAAAATTACTTGGTAAAATATTAACAAAAATAGAATAAATAATTTTTACTCAAACAAAGAATTTAGGTAACAAAATCCTAAACATAGGAATATAAAAAATATATATATAGTAAATAAATAATTAAATAAATTTTTGTACTTACTGCTCATGTTGATTATTTGACACTTCAAGACTAAATGAAGTCAAGACTCGGCCTCCTACACCAAGATTTTTACTTTTCGGTTATTTAGAGGGTAGGGGGTAGGTAGAAATAGAGCGGTCAAGCCAAAAGGGTAATAAAAGAAGCCGGGTACTAACATCTGGACTTGCACGTGACATATTGGAAATTCCTAATTCCCAGGTCATTTCAAATAATTCCACCCCGCTTAGGAAATTAAGGCCCGTCCGGTGGAAGAACATAATTTACAACACCCAAATTGCCGCACGCTGGTTATCTGTATGATTTCGAAACTTTGCGGAGACGGTTTTGTTGTGGTGCTTTCAGGTATAAATTCGCTCAAATTTTTATTAGCATTGTTGTAATATTGCTACCCGATTTTAGATTGCGAATTATTTAATTTTGGATTACCTCTTGAAGTTATCGACTTGGATAACAACAATCTATATTTTGCTAGTTGTAAAAGTTCAAAAAAGCGCCGCAATCCACTTTTGTTTTTGATTTGGAAATTTTAATTTTTTTAAAAACGAGCTCGCAAATATAATTTTATACTTTTTAATGTTTTATTAGGGTTCTTTTAATATTATCGTAGATAATTGCCAATTTAGTTTACTTATAAGGAGGTTATATCACCTTGGTGATAAATAATAACAAATAAATAAAAATCAAAGGAAATTATTTTTTATTTAGTAAAAATTCTTATTCATTAATTTAATTGAATTTCCTTTAGTGGCATACTTCTGGACGCTCTTGGATCAATTATTTCCGGAAGTAGTGCCCTCATGTAAAATTTCTCCAACTTCGACTCCATTTTTTGCTTCCAGAATTCATCCTCCTTTTGAATCACTTCTGTTTTCAATCGGTTTTCTCCAGTCCACACACATAACAGACATTTTTGCTTGTTGGTTACGTGCAGCTGTCCCTGGATCTGATAAAACCAGTCATGGTTTTTATTAATTTCGAAAACTCCTTCGGATTTAAATTTCCAAAACGTTATTAGTTTTTTTTATGGCTTCCTTGGGTGTATATTTTTGTTTAAAGGCCCTATACGGACATTTTATTTCCACTATCATTTCTTCATTTTTAATGATACCGTCTGGTGATGCTCCCAAAAAAAAAACTTCCCTGTCAGTAAATAATCCGCAGCGTTCAACAATAATATTTTCCCCCCTTTCAGCACTTAGTTTCTTCTCCAACTCCCTCCTGGCATCAATTTCATGAATTTTACCGTGATTTAACGACGGTATATTTGGCGAAGTTACATTGTAAAGTAAATGTTTTACCGTAGCAGCAGTATTTGTGGTTTTTCTTAATTTATATATTTTGCCAAAATTTGACGCTGTTAACATCTTTCTTCGCATTTGCATCCATCTCCTCCTACATCTTGGTCTCTTGTATTCTTTTCGATTTTTTCTAATTCTTTGTCCGTTTTTCTTAATTTTAGTAAATATTCCTTTTCTTCTTCCTTATACATTTCTTGGCACATATCGGGCTGTTGCGATGCCTCGCTATACGATTTGGTATCTTTTGTATCGTGTTTAAAATTATTTCTTAACCTATTTCTTTTCGAAAGCCTATCTTTTGTTATTTTTTTTAACCTACGGTTTTCAATTGTGTAAATAATTTTATTGTATTGTACTGTTCGTCATTTTAGTATTATGCGAAATAACGTCGGTAGCACATCTTGCTTGATATGAGTTGCCAAGCCCATAATTAATTCTTTTGCCTCCAACAAATTTGGCAACAATGGAGTGATACTGTTCACAAATATTACTTGTAAAATTCATTATAAGACTTTTGGCGTGATTAGCAGTGTACCTACTGACGTATATTATTTTATTTAGAAATTTAGAAATTTTAAAAATCTCTAAAATTTTCTTTTACAAATTCAAGACATCTGTGTCATCAGCTTGTCGGCGGGTGTGGTTGTAAATTTGGGTCTAATTGTTTGCGGTTACATTTTATGTGGGGGTTGTAAATTATTTTGTGCTCACTCGATTTTCGATTCCAAATCGTCATACCTCTGTAGAGGTGTTATTTATAAATATTTTTTTACCGGACTTGAAATTATCACCTTAATATACAACAATCTACATTTGGACTGTTTTAAAAGTTCGGAAAAACGTCTTAAAATGTATTTTTTTAAAATGCGCACTTTTATTCAAACTTTCTGTACCTATATTACAATTTGTAGATAACCTATCGCAATTCTAAAACAGTTAAAATGTAGAAAAAAAAAATCTCTTTCACATGATACCAAATTCATAAAAATATCTTTAGTAGTTTTGAAATACAGAGGTAGACATTTACATTGGAACTCCCATAAGAGATTTTGCTCCGGCCGCCTCTTAATAAAAACTTTAATTAAAACTTGTTGTACAGAGGAAAGGGCTAAGAGAAAAAGTCATTTTGTGTTTTAAACACCAGCCACACAATGTTAAATCTACTGTTTAGTTTTTATCAACTAATTTCAGTAGATAAGGTAGTCTTTTATCGTGTAGTGAAATAAAGTAATTTTTATCTACTGTTTATATTCTTTATTTTGTGCAAGAATTTCTGGTAGGTGAGTACAAAATAAAACGAAATATTATTCACGACGATAAAGATTGTTAATAAAAACTGTAATAAATAAAAATGAAAAAAGCAGTAGTAAGTGTTAGCTAATGTTCAATTTTAAAATTGCACCAACACCAGCGTGTGAATGTGAATTAGGCCTTTCTTTGAGAATCCATTTTCTTATGGTAATCTTCAGATAAAGTTCTTGATTTGAATATTTTCAACGTTTGGCAAAAATTCATATCTCCTCCCGCAATAATAGTTATCTATTATAAGAGTGTATTAGGTAGCGACTAACACACGACTGCAATATAACGTTTTATCCACAATCACAAGCCCAAATTATTCCAAACTTAATTAAAAATTAAACTGACATTTAAACGTCACGCCAAATGTGCTTTCGGTTAAACGTATAAGCTGTTACGTGGTGCACTGCTTCCACTAACAGTGGAATAAAGTTGCTTTATTCCACTAGTAGATAAAGTGGTACTTTATACGCATCAAAAGTGTGGAATAAAGTCTCTTTATAGAGTGATTGTGGATAATAATAATTTATGACTGTTATAAATTAATTACACTTTTGGAAAAATCCAAAACAAATAGATGGTAGAAATAACCAAAGGTTGGTAATGCTAGGGGGATCGCCTGCGCATTATCTATAATTGAATAAAAGAGGTAAGACTGATGATAAGAGATTAGTCAGGCCTGCTCCAGATAAAAAGTATTAATCCGATAAACCTAAAATTTAACAATATAAGTAGGTGTACTAAAGGCTGTAACCAAGGTAAGGACTTAAAAATTTTTGCGATTCCAGGCATTGCAAAAATCCAAGCAGTTTTTTAGGCATAACCTTAATCTCTGAAATTCACCACGTGGCTGCACCCCAATTCCAGCTAGAATTGAAATCCCTATCAATAGAGATAGAGATAGGATCTACACACGGGACATAATTTCTTCACTGTCTTTTATCCAGCAGGAGAAGGGGTAAGGCAAATCAAGAAAAGTTTTTTTTCTGCTTTAATTCAATTGCTATTTTTCTTTATAACAAATTTTCTTTCGAAGATTTAATCTAAACATATTTTTTTCACTTTGTCCAGCAGAAGGAGCCAATCAAGAAAAAAATTTAAATATTACATAAAGTTTTCAAAAAAAATCATCCAAAAAGTAAAATAATATCAACAAAAAACAAATGTACCGGGAGGGGCATGGGTTACGCGCAGAAAAGGAATCCCCACTTCTAATTAAATAAAATTGTTGAGTTTTTTCACACTTACTTGGGCATTAGTAAGGTACATTCTCTAATTTTTTGGTAATTTTTCATTTACAAACAAAGCCAAAAAAAATAAAAAGTAATTTTCTCCCAAAAAGTTTAATTCTAATTTTTATACTGACCTACGCAGATTCACTTCCTACAATTGTTTACAAAATCAGAAAAAAAATACCAATTAGATTTTGAATAAAACACAATTTCCCATCTTAACTTTGAAAATAATTTTTATTTAAGACCTGCTACTTGTGCCATCGTAAATTTAGGTGACAATGGGGAATTGCAATTCGGGTAAGATTCCAAGGTTTACAACAAAAAGACCCTTTAAAGCGGTCGGCTACCAGTAAATGACTCTTTTGTTGGCAAATTATACCATTTTGTCATAAATCACGGGTCTGGTTTGTGTTTAAATAAAAAAAGCGATTATTTGGATAACCAAGTCAAAATTTGAAATTGTGATATCAAAGTTTGATGCGCTAACAGGTACAGATTCATTTAGTGTAAAAACTTTATAGGTAAATTAACAGAAAGTATTCATAAAACACACAAAACTGTTACGGACTCACTTATTATCAAAAAAAAATAAAAAAATTCTCAAATATACCATATCAATAATTTGTTAGGTATATGAAACATCGCCAGTTTTAATTAATTAGAAGTCGCGATTTATCAGGTGCGCGTAACCGATGCCCCACCCGGTACAATATTAAATCAAGTTGAGAATTTTGTATTTTTAGAAAATAAATTTGACCTGTTCAAGCGTTTTTGTCAAAACACAATATTTTTGCAGTTTTAGTAAAAAAGATTGATTATTCCATAAATTTTCGGCTCACTGTGTATATCTTGTCATATAATACTCTCTCTTTTCTTACCAGGTACATTTTTTGGTGTTATATCGCCTCAACTCGTGGGATAATGATGATGGAAGATGGAAAAGGAAGAAAGGGAAGCGGAGATTGGACCATCGTCTGTTCCGTGACGATGGTTGATGCTGTAACACAAACATTCTCAACGGAGAAGAAAATGGTAGACGCAACGACCCAGACGGGAATTGCGAAAACCAAAAGGGAATTAACGGAACCGTTCATCATCCGAAAAAAGAGAACCTTTGCTGAGTTTAGAGAATTAGAAAAACGTGAGGGGCCAAACATCCACTACGAAAAAGTTAAAATGATATCAGCAAGCCCCTTTGCTATGTCAATGGACGCAGCCCCGGTGATAATCGTGTCTAGAAACTTGAAGGAAAAAGGACCATTACTTCACTATTTTTACCAGCGGTATCCAGAGTACAAAGAGTTAACACTCAAAAGCGAGAATCCCATGGAGTGCGAGGTCATCTTCATAAAAGAAAGCCTAGTGCTTGTGACCGAAACAGGAGATAAGGGACCCCAAGAAGACAAGTACATGTTTATAGTAATTGCTGATGAGCTGGAAGCCGCAAACGGGGCACTAGAGAAAACATACAATTCTCTTATGGATCTGAAAGAGAAAGTAAACAGACTGCGAATTACCAAAATCGCCGTGGCATGCGATCTGATGTACAGACTCGAGTATCACAGGAAGATGCTCGAGTACATCTTCAGAGGAGAAAAAGTGGAAGTCACTTTTTGTATTCTTCCTTTGGTGCAACAAAATCCCGAAGAGGATTGGCAGACAGATGCCATAATCATAAAGTGTCGGAGAGATACATACGATTCCTTGTTGTTTGAAGTACATGAACACTTGAAAGATATTGACTGCATTATCACAAAAATGGAGTCGGAGAAAATCTTAATATTAGTCGAGAAAGGACAAGGGAAGTACATTCAGGAGATTATTCGCTCTAGGATGAGACGAGGTAATGTCATCTTAAAGACAAATCGTGAACGAAGAGAAAATCGTCAACAGACAGATGCTATCCTTATTTGCGGTTATTCGGTGGGAGTTACATTCGAATCTTTGTTGTTTGAAGTACGTGAACATTTAAAAGACATTGACCAGATCATCACTGAAGTCAAGAAAATGAAGAAGAGGAATCTCTTATTGCGTGTCGTTAAGGGGCAAGGAAAGGAAATTGCAAAGATCCTTGTCGGTAAGATGAGCGGATATAAGATCATCTCAACGGCGCATGGCGAAGAAAGTGATGTATACTTGCCTTATAAAGTGAAGGAAGTCAATAAGCGTATTTTTTGTGAAAAATGCTGGGAACCGGGCCATATGCATATGATATGCGAAGGTGTGAACAGAAGCAATCTGTGCCCCAACTGTGGGGAAGAATGTCATTCTGAGATTTGCAGAAAACCTGTGTTTTGTCCAGTGTGCAACAGCAAGAGGCATAGAGCGAGAACTCACCCGTGTCTGATTGCTCACCAAAAGCTAGCACTAAAAGAACTCGAGAAGCAGATCATTAACTTTCCTCCAGAGACCATGCAACAGAATCCCGAACAGTGGGAAACAGATACCATAATAATAAGTGTAGATAAAAAAGCTTCGTATGAATCCCTGTTGTTTGAAGTACGTGAACACTTGAAAGACGTTGATTGTATTATCATTGCAATACAGAGAATGGGGTTGAGGAAAGTGTCGATGCTTGTCGAGAAAGGACAAGGAGAGCGCATTAAGGAGATCCTTAGTTCTAAGATGAGCGGTCATAGAATCGTAAAGAAAGACCGTTATGATGGTTTTTGTTCTAAGTGCTGGGAACGCGGTCATATTGATATGACATGCAAAGGCGTGGACAGAAGAAATTTGTGCCAACGTTGTGGAGAAGAAGGGCATTCTATGGATGGATGCAAAAATTGCAAATTCTGCCCGGTGTGCAACACTAGGGGGCACATAGCGAGAACGCCGAAGTGTCATAAAAAGGCAGCGACGCAGAAAAAGGCAAAGAAGCCTTGCGGTGACCCGGTTTCTTCAGGTCAACCTCAATAGAAGTGTCGTGGTGAGTAAAAGGTAAATAGGTGACCACAATACCGGGTGTCCCAGGCAGGCTTGGATATAAGAAATTAACATGGAAAATTAGTTCTTATTTTTTTCCGGCTGTAGGAGTAACAGAAATCTAAATCTGACTAATGGAGTTTGTAGTGCTTGAAGAGGGCTACCTTTTCCATATTTTTGTCGATTCTCCAATTACCTCAATATGGGCGAAATCGACTGTCGAAAAATCGAAATTTGAATTTGCCGGGTTCGCGTTACTAAGAAACGAACTATCAAGTCATTGTTGCCAAAGGAGAATTTGTCACAATTTGACTTGATAGTTCGTTTCTTAGTAACGCTAACCCGGCAAATTCAAATTTCAACTTTTCAAGAGCCGTTTTCGCCGAAATGGGGTTAATTGGAGAGTCGACAAAAATGTCGATAAGATAGTCCTTTTCGAGCACTACAAGCTCCATTAACCAGATTTTAATTTCTGTTACTCCTGTAGCCGGAAAAAAATAAAAACTAATTTCCCATGTTAATCTCCTATATCCAAGCCTGCCTGGGATACCCGGTATATTTTACAATATGTATATGTAATATTGATATTTCTAACCTTGACGCTGGTTGGAAAGTGTCTATACCTACTTCTTTTACCACCGTCGTTTTCTAGTTCCACATTTGTCTTCGTCTAAATCCACCATCTCAATATATTTAAAGACGTAATAAGGAAAAAACTGCCACACTGTCTAGCATAAAACCACGTCACTATACTAATATCATTTTGTTAAGACCTACTAAAAATTTTATTACTTTTAAGTTAAATGCGGTATTGTTAAGAGTAAACCAGAGGGTAAACAAATCATAAATTAGTGGAACCCACCCGGACCCTGAAACAGGTCAGTTTTTAACAGGGCCGGATTATTTACTTTCTTTTTGTCTAAAATACTTGAAATATTTTAATAGTTTTTGATGTAATCAAGTATTTTAAGAAATTTAAAAAAGCCAGGTGGTTATTAACAAGTTATTATTAAATAAAGCAGATTTTTTTTTAATAATAACTTGGTAAAACTCTACCACTACTTTGGTTTTAAATACGACCCTGTTTTATTCTAGTGGGTGCAGCAACACTTGCAAAGGAACGTGCCATTTATGGAGGGTAACAAATTCAAGCCATTGTTTGGTTAATCTCTTATAATGTGTCATAAAAATTTTAGTAGGTCTTAGGAAAATGATTTTTCTGTACGTTGTTTATTATTGTAGTGTTTGTTGCAATGACAACGAAAACGAGTGTGCAACTGTCTCGGTAAACTTTAGAATCTCTTGACAGAAATGAAACACTTACTATTGTATTACTAATACTCTACTACTAATACTATTGTTTTACTTAGATATAAAAAGCGTTTGCATAACAGCGAATGAGCTTAAGCTCACTTCTGTGTAAAACTTCTAGTTTATCCACTCATACTGTAATATACTATTGGGTTTTTTCATTTACCCACGAAAAATTAGTATTTTGTTGTTGATTTACTTTTATGCATTGTAATATTCACCTTTTTTAAATTTTCAGGTGTATTAAAATTAATAATGACTGATTCTAAAAGGCATTCCGTGCACCACATGCAGACAAAGGTAAGATCAAATACAACGAACCACCGTATAATGCCAATACCCATTTCAGAATAAATTTCCCGTTACGTGCAATTGGAAGAAATTGGAGAAATGGCTCTTCTTCTTAACCAACGAAACAATTGTTTAATTTTTTATATAAAAAAATAATACGTATAAATAGTGGTACCAAATTTTTCGAATAGTGAAATAATTTTTTTACGGCTTACAGCAAGTATATAAATAATTTTTCGTTTATGAAACAGAACTGTAGATTAACTGTAATTGAATGTTACGTTTGTTTAAAGGGCTTATACAAAGTTTAATATACTGTTAAATTTGTAATATAATTAATTTGATTTAGCGTTGTTATTTTTGTTCATACCCCTCCCCCGTTTTGCTAAACACTAAGAAAACTCAAAAAAAGAATCTCAAAAAATTAGAAAGACTTGTGAAAAGTGAACAAGTTATTATTGAGTCAGTCGCAGAATTACACATTAGTTCTTTATTGGCTGTATACATAAAAATATTCATAAAAGTATAGCCTGATAGCACCTGAAAATATCTCTTATCTTATTTAATTAATGTATTTTTATTTTCTTAGGGTAATTTTGAGCTGTTAACAATCTGTAACGTAAAACTATGCACATTGTTTTTGTTAAATGGAATTGATAAAAGAATGCTAGTTTTAAAACAGTAGATTTCAAAAAAATTTATTTACAGAAAGAAATAACTTACAATTCATCTTTAAGTAGAGTATATCTATTTTTTGATGGTGCTAACTTTTTAAAAGTACTTTCAGGTGGGGTTGTTGGCGATTTTTGTGAAGAACTAAGTTCATCAGAATCAGGACCATAATGAAATTCTCTATGTAATTTTCCTGAATAGAGATCTTGAATAAACTGTTTTAGTTTCCCAGGGATTTCCATATCCTTGTAATTTGGAAACAGATACATGTGCCTAAAACTATCAATTGCAATAAGTGGCAAATCCTTTTCACCCTTTCCGAGATGATGTAAAGGATGTGCAAATTTTTTACCATCGGCAGTCAAGAAGTTTATTGACTCTGAAAATAAAAAATTATCAAAATGGAACAACAGAAAAAAAAGCAAATAAATACGTTTTTCTGACAGTAAATCGGTTTGTACAATTTCAGTAAACCTCTTAATACTTTCTTTATCATCAGGGGAATGGAAAAGAATTAAAAACGGCAATCCTTCCTCGGTTAGCTCCTCAGCATTCTCAAAAGTAATTTCACGTACTAAAGGTACACATTTCTCAGATACCCATATGTGCAATTCATCAAAATTTGTTAAACTTCCCGTGTAAGTTTCATCTAAATCATTAGAACGCTCCCTGTCAGGCCTAAAGACGATTATAGGTTGGTTCTCGGGGTGCATGGTGCGCGAAGCTTCACCAAAACCAGCATGAAAATGGCAGTCGTCCTTAACGTTAGTAGCAACGCGTCGGAATATATTGTATTCAGGCTGATCCCGCCTGTCGAAATAACCTGTAAAAAATAATTACTAAATACCGTAGCTTATAAGTGTGAAATTAAGTTGGCAAAATTCATTAACAATGGTTTCGAATAAGGCTGGCTATGGAAACATAGCCACCCCTTATCCAAGAACATCGCGAATGCATTATATCTTCTAATCAATCTTGCCAACTTAATTTTAAAATCTGCTAATAAATCGTGATAAACTTATCGTAAGCATAAAAATTTATGCGTACCAATAACTATTCTTTTATTAGACTCTAGTTCGTTAAGTTCTCTCAATTCTTTAAATTCTTTGACGGGATCTTCGAGTTGTTTTTTGATGAAGTTTGTAAAAGCCTCAATTGAGCGTTCACCCCGATATTCCCTTTTTGCCGGCTGTCCATTTCGTATTACTTTAAGAGTTGGGTATTTGGTAATGTGGAATCTTGTCGCAACTGACCCTTCTTTATCACAATCGACTTTCCCCATGACGACTTTGCCAGCCTCGGGAAACTCTTGGGCAATTTTATCAGCGGCTTCGTCAAATACTGGCATTAGTATATTGCTAAATCTGCACCATTCGGCATAAAAATTAATAAAAACTAATTCATTGGAAGCTACAATTTGGAGCCATTAACAAAGTTTCAATTACTTTTTTATCTCAAGTACCTAAAGTCATATCCAGATTATCTTGTGTTAGCTGAACTGCTCCGCTGTCTGTTGGATTGTGAAAAACATAAAAAACCTGAAACCAAAGCCGCATAATTATTTTATTTGTTTCTAAGCTAGGTTATGTTACACAAACATTTATTTCTAAGGTTCGGTTTTAAGAAAATAAAGCTACAGCTGCGTGTGTTACCTTATATTTGAGTAAAATAAACGAAACTCGTCAGGAAAACAGTAATTTCTCCGATTCGTGGCAGGTAAACAAGAAAATAAAATCTGTCAAACTCACCATAAAACTTATGAAGAATGTGAGCCTAAAACTGCTCAGAAACCATATGTTATGAACCATTCTAATAATTAATTGACGGGGAAGTGTTTACTGTATTAATTTTACAAATAAATTCACGGGAAAGATAGGCAGTTCGATGATTCAAAACGTCATAGAAGTTTGAAGGGTTAAGCGCGCATGTGCCAATTCTCGCAACGCCGAAATGGCACGCCACTTAAATGTTTTTCGTGCGTAAGTATTTAAGCGAGAATTCTCTAATTCGTCAAAATCAATCTCCATTCGCTTAGCAAACAAAATCTAAAATTAAAATTCCTTTGTTTATTACAACTTATATAGCGATAGATTGACTGAACTGTCTTACTTAAATGTAGTGAAAACATTAAAATCACTGAAACATTAGAGGAGTTTATTGCGTACTGTTATGTTGGTAGTAGTGCGCTTGAAATCATCTGCCCAAGAACCGCCGAACTTCGAATAATTTTTTTTAACGCTGTTTTTGAAGTATGAGTCCATTTGTCAGTATTCCATCAAAAAATTTCAATATTTAAAGAATTAAGTTTCTCAAATTTTATCTCTAGTTTCCGTTTAAAAATGTTGAAATAATTACAGAGAATAAAGTGGACTACTTTCTACTAAAAAAAAATAAAAAATATTGAATCTGAATAATTAATGTCAAATGTTAATTTATTTCGATTAACAGCTGCCACTGTTGACAGAACTATCATGTTCAAAAAGAGTAGAGCGGCACTGAGAATTTTACATAAAAAGAAATTCTATAGAGCTAAATGAAAATCATTTTGAAACACGTTGTATATTTTGTCGAATCCCCACAGAGAATAATGATTTATTTTAATAATAAAAATGGAAAAAAGTTAATATTTTTCAAAAACAATATACAATAGAACACACATACCTTGAAATAAAGGTAGTACAGTGAATTTCGTCCACCCAATTTCTGTGAATTCACAAAAATTCACTGTAGTCTGTGCTTTATTGTCATTATAACTGACATTCAAATACGTATTGTCAAATTTAATCATATTCGAACATAATAAAATAAAAATTCTGGTACAAGAAGATATGTCTCAAAGACGTGTCTCTATACTTTTGAGCATACCAAGGACTACCACTGGTTGTCCACAAAGGACAAAGGTAAACAGTAGCAAGAAGCATCGAGCATTCTGTCAACATGACAAACGTTAATCAAAATTCTGAAACAAGGTTAGAAAAACCTAAAGACTAATTTACACTTTTAATCTGTCAGGGAAACCGGTTGGACGAAAATTACTGTCCATCACTGTACGAATAAATGCATTATTAATAAAAATGTTTTAATAAAAAATAATCATACAAAAAAACGGACGGATTATTTCGCACTAACATGAGATATGACTTTGTAACCGGGTTACAAAATTTTGTAAAGTATACTAAAAAGAATAGTAGTAAAAAATGCTGTTGCATAAACGGGTGTCCTGCTTGATCCTGACTAAAATAGATAAAGTTAATATTAAAAGAAAGAAACCCGAAAATTATACTTACAATAATGTAATAATTACATCTGTCACCTTTACAACATTCAGAACACTTCCAGTCTTGATACCAAATGTGTGTGCAATAAGGCATGTTACTTTTTCTATAATTTTCACACCGTTCTTTCGTAGCACATTTCTTTGAAACGTAATACTGCTTTAAGGCTCCTTGTTGCCAGTAGGGTGTGCTTCCCCACTTAATCTCAGTTAAACAAACATTTTCCCCATATTCGCATGTTTTAATTGTTGTCACACATTTGCCTTTGTTATCCTCCTGATTATCACAAACATAACATTCTAAAGTCAAACCTAAAAGAGATTAAGGTTATGTAAAATCGACATTTTATGGTTTAAAAAAGACTCACCGAGATCTATAAAAGCCAACAAGATAAAGCAGCTTGATAATGTCCTCATATTTGTTAAAATTGGTGTAAATTAATTAAATGATCAGTTTATGACAACATAACCACACCCACCACGGAGAAAATAACAACACACCTGCGTTACAGTGTCACCAACAGCTAAATGTTGAAAATCTCAAACGAACAAAGGCTAAATATCACTAACTTCTTATTTTCCATGAAATATTAGTAGTGAATAAATTTTAAATTGGTTAAAAAAGTCCAAAATATGTTGACAAAATTACTAGAAATAGAAGAAAAATTCTTATGGAGCAAATTTGCGTAAACGCGAAATTTCCTTACATCCTAACTTTAGATGTCAAATTTCACATTGGTATCACTGATTAAACTTGTCAAAAATTGAAAACGTAAACAGATAAGTCCTCATTTGTAAACGTTTGAGTAATCTGTTTTAATTTTTTATAAATTTTATGACGAGTATCGATTAAAATAATGCCTGCGTTGTAGTAATTTTCCCATTAGACAGGGATCATGGAAGGAGTCCTTTGGAAATGGACTAATTACTGGAATGGTAATCTACAAGAGCAAACATGATTAGGACTACAAGTACTTATTTTTTAGGATGGCAGACGCGATGGTTTATTCTTGAAAATGGTGTACTAGCATATTACAAATCCCAAGAAGAGGTTAATCAGGGTTGTAGAGGTTCTATTAAAGTGCAAGCTTGTGAAATAATTGGTAGGAATTGCATTAGTACAAATTAAATAATAATGATGATTTTCAAGTTAACGCCATCGATAGTACACGGTTAGACCTTGTAATTCCCGGCGAGCAACACATTTATCTCAAAACAGCAACATCACAAGAAAGACAGCAGTGGTTGGTCGCCCTCGGTAGTGCTAAAGCTTGTGTCCAAAAACGAACTCTAAATGACTCTAGTGAGTTCAAAGTTAATAACAACTGTAGGTTTATTTTTGTAGCAAATTACATTCATGCAAATGATGTAAAAACGTTACTAATTTTTTTCAGGTGAGCCTAACACCAATGCCTTGAAAAAAAAGAAATCAGAATTAAGGCTTTATTGTGATTTATTGATGCAACAAGTACATGTTATTAAAAATTCCACTAATGGAGAAAACAGGCCTGATGTTGAAGTAATAAGTTTCACTTCTTTATCTGAGTTTTTTTCACATTGGGTTTCAGAAAATGGATGACGCTACAAGATTGTTGGGAGCAACTTGTGATACTTTCATTAAAACTCTAGAAGAATGCATGGAATTGTCAAATGCAAACATTATGTATAACGTACCCAATAATGACGTTATTGTACCACCAGCAACTGTTAATCTAGCCTCAAAGAGGATATAAATATATTTCTTACTCAAGTTGAATTTTATTTATGTTTTACTATTTACTAAGAATTGTTAATAATTATGTTTTTTGTGTTCAGAGTTTTGTACTGTATCTAGAATAATTACTGTAACCAAAGTATTTAAATAACTCTTCCAGGGAATAAATAAATATATTTTAAAGCAGCAGTTTATTGATTTTTTCTTGTTTACATTCACAACAATCAATATATTTCTAACCATTCAGTTTCCCAAAATGTCGCTTTTTAAAATACGAACATTTTGGAGTGTTCACTGTGAAGAAGATTCATTTGATCAAAATAGTTTGTTAGTAACGAAACTTAATCATGACTCTGATTTTCTAATAGTTGGGAGTCACAGTGGGATTTTAAAAGTTTTTAAACCTTCATGTGAGACAAATTTTAAAGAATATTCCCCTTCAGATTTATTGATAGAAACAATTTTAAAAGATCCAATCCTCCAATTAAGCTCTGGCCGGTTATTATCGTAAGTACAGTAAAATTTTTGAAAGAAATTAATAAAATGTGTCAGAGGTTCGACTAAAGTCCAGTTAGCAGTCTTACAACCCAAATCACTAAACGTTTATGATCTAATTGCAAAAGAGGGGGCAACGGAGCACGGCAAGTGACTGTTTTTCCAAGAATATAACTAAAATTTTAATTTTGTAGGCGTTCAAAATATTCTTGAGCCACTATACGTCCATAAATTGCAAAAGTTGGCTTTTAATTTATGTGTAGGTCCTTTTGGAGGCGTTAAAAACCGCGATTTTATTTGTGTACAATCGCTAGACGGATTATTAACGTTTTTTGAACAAGAAAGTCTCGCGTTTTGCTGTTTTCTACCCGATGTTTTACTCCCAGGACCTTTAATTTTTGTTAAATCCTCCGATAGTTTTGTTACGTCCAACTCAAATTGGCACATAATCAGCTTTAGGTGAGTTTAAGAATGGCATTTTTTACTCCAACTTTGCTTTTTAAAGATATAAAGTATTGTCTGAGGCCGGTCAAAATTCCATAGAGGGCCCAAATGTGGGTAAAGTCTGCAGTGACTGGACGTTTAATCTCGGGGAAGGAATCATAAGCCTAGATGTGGTCCAAGACTCCACTTCCAGAGAAACCTACATTATGGTGTTGGGTGAAAGAAGCATTTTCTGTCTAAGTGACAGTGGAAAATTGAAATACATGAAACGGCTCGAGTTTTCCCCACTCAATTTTATCAACTACTTCCTTAGTAAGTTTAAAATTAATTCAAGGTGAACAAAAATATGTGGAACCAAGCGTTTTTTATTTTTTATCACTTGCCTTTAAAAATAACAATTAAAAAATTATAAAAATGAGATCGTATTATGACTATTATGAGAATAAAAATGACCTTTATAAAAAAAAAAAGGTTTTAAGTTGGTTTCAAATTTAAAATTTTAGATTGGCAACGTTGATTTTCAAATTCAAACGTCAAACTTTTATAGGCAATTGTCATTGATTTGCGACGGGCGATTGCTGATTTAGCCGTCACCTGACACATTCTGATATAACAAATTAGAAGGATTGCCTCAGTGTTGCCAATAGATTTCTATTTTTGAGGAACGTTCATATTTTTATGTAGTACTTTATCATTCTTCAAATAGTTTTTTCAAAGAATATATAGTTTATAAGCAAAAGACGTTTGGTTCCATTTTCTGTTCAAAACTCAAATAATCAATACTTTTAGACGACAGGATTATCTCACTTGTTGTTTCCGAGACAAATAATTTACTGATTTACCAGAATACTTCTTTGAAGTGGTGCTCACAGTTGTCCGTTTCTCCTATTTCTTTCAATCGTGGTCTTGTTTGCAATACTGATGGTGTCTTAGTGTTACTACTAGAGGAAGGAACTCTATCGTGTTCATATCTGGGCACAGAACCGAGCTTATTTGTGGCACCTCCTTTAGCCGTTCAAGATTTGGACTTCGAAAAAGCCGGTCAAGAATTGACCAAACTACACAAAATTGTTAAAAATACATATTCGAACGGTATTTAGTCTCACAATTAGTACACATTAGGCCTTATCTTTCCCCTACTGCAGATATAAAAGTAACCAACGCCACAACCGAACGCGAACTTGTCCTAAATGTCTCAGTGAGTCCACATTTAGAAGACTCTACACTCGAAAACGCCATAAATAACAAAACTTGTCCCATTTTAATAGATATCATCCCTCAGACTTTATTCGAAGAAGTCCAAGTGACGGTTTTCGTAGAATACCCGCTGAAAGTTTGTCCCCAGACTGAGTTTTTCACTAATTTATCTGAAAAAACCACAATGAGTTGCCGTGTTTTCATGGAGAAACCTGAAGAGGTTTCACATTTAAACGTGCAAGTTGTGGCTTCATTTATATCGAGTTTGGGAGTTCCGAGGAGTGTGATGAGATGTGCGACGTTGCCTTTAAACTTAGCAGTTGAGACATGTCCGCCCTGTAAAGATAGCGAGTGCAAAGTGACTTTAAATATTAATCAGACTCCCGTGGGTTTATCTGTTCTTTTCCCAGGTAAAACGTCCAAATTTTTAAATATCAGAGTGACCTGTGACTGAAATTAAGTTGGCACGTGAACGGTTGCCAAATTACTGTCACTTCTTGTTGCCAACTTAACTGCAGAGTCACAGGCTACTTTAAAAAAACCTAAATTGCAGAATACACGTTTTCCTCGAACAATAACGCAATTGCGTTTAAAAATAAAGCAGCAAACGGGAAAGTTGTAACAATATTGTTGGCAAAATCGTCTGAAAGATACAGACTTCAGTCGGACTCCTTCGCATCGTTGAATCTTTTAGTGGAAGAAATGGTGAATCGGCTTAGGAAACACTATGCCAACATTGGCGATTTTGCAATTACTTCTGGTTCTTTTCCGCAAACTAGTGTTATACTTGATTATGTTAGAGCCCATTTTAATTCACAACAGAAATTCGTTTCGTTACAGGTGAGAAAACTGGTGCAGATTATTCAATAACAAAAATCTTTTTAGAACCAGATTATTCAGCTCAGTGCCCAGTTGAGATTAATCCAGAAACGCCTAATTGCAAAGTTTAAAATAAAAAACCCGACATCACTGGCCAATTTGGAGTTACTTCTCGGAGACACTTATTCCGAAATTATGAAACTGACCGAAGAGTTTGAAGAAGAGAAGAATAATTTAGTTAAAAGAAGAAATGAATTATCTTCGATTTTACACCTTGTAATTAATATTATCAAATTAATGGACGTTAATATGAAAGTGAGACAGTTGATTGAATCTGCTTTTAGCCCTGTTATCTATGACATTGATGGACAAGTAAATTTTTCAATTTTTTCAGTGGTTAACAATGAGGTTTTTGTGTTTTTAGAGTTGGGAAGACATCACTGACGCATCTTTATCGTATTTATTGCGCACAGTTCTGGCGAAATCTGAGAAAGATAAATTACGAACTGCTCATGCAAATTTGGAAGAAATCAGGGATGTTTCAAAAATTGAGAAACATTTAACTCTGATCCTTGAAAGAATTTCAAAAGGAATTTTACTAGAATCTTCTAGTTTGCTCGATGAAGGTATCCATTGTATTTTTTTTAATTTTCAATTAAACTGAATTTTATATTTAGTGGAAGAAGAAAATGGAAACAAAGAAGACAATAATGTGACGGAAAGTTTGCCGATTGGGTCTCAAATTGGCGAATCCAGTTCTCAACTGCTTTTAGCAAGGAGAGGTCTTCTCACGAAAAAGTCACAATGAAATATTACAGTTGTAGCAGTAAAAATGTGTATGTATACCTTCGGGTGTAAAATTTCTCTCGACATACCCACCTATTGTTAAATAAAACTTTCAGTTTTCTGATTGTACAGCACAGTCTCACTTTCTAATGTACGTGTAAACAGTGCCATTTCATTTATGAAAAGTATTATTGTAAGTAGGTAGCTTGAGATAGAAACGTACACAGCGAATGGAAAGAAATTAACAAAATAATTTTTGGTAAAATCGCAAGTAATTTTTAGCGATATTTTCATTTTAAAGATCATAATAATTCATATCTTATTTGTAAAAGATTTTTTTTTAAATAGGTTTTTTTCGTATTTATAATTATAGTGGGTAGATGTAAATAAACATAAACCTAAAAACTAAAAAAGTATTTATTGTTTCCTCCCAACCGGAAATAAAGTGAGCTTCCCTTCCTCCCTCGGGAATAAAATAAACGAAATACCGATTTTTACTCTAAAATAAACTGAAATTGAATGAATTGAATTTTTTGCGCATTTTTTTTTTTGATAGTCGTCAGCCAACTTTATTCAGATATCCCCTACCGAGCAATTATTATTCTTTGACAAAATTATTATTTTATTTTGTAATTATTATTAATTTAGTCGGTAGGAGGAAAGTTTTATATGCATCTTTGAAATAAAAATTATTATAGTACATAAATAACAATTTTGTGTTTAAATACTTGCTGTTAAAGTTGAAACACAAATATATTATTGTACTTTTCTTGAATAAAGAGAATATATCCCAAACTGCGTTTTTTTTGTAAAAGAAAAATGTGTGTTACAAATTTAGATCTAAAAAATTGTAAAAAAATAGTTAACAACGGTGATAAAATAAACTTTTTCAGTACTAGAAAAAATAAAATGGGTAAAATAAATAAAGTTTCTCTTCGAAGATCAGCAAACTTTAAAACTTTGTCTTTTTTAACAACTTTGTTTAGAAACGCATAAAATTATGATACAGACTGAACCAAAAGTAACGCACAAAATTCATATCTTTGTTATGAGTAATTTTTCAAAAAAATCCTTGAACAGGCCGATTTAATTTTTTTAATCGCTACTTTTTTACTATATATATATAGTGACATTTATGACGTCGTTCGTTTTCGAGTAATGACGTTATTTTAATTTTTTTCTTAAATGAACCGACATTTTTTATTACTGTTTTAGATAGTACACGTTATCTTTCTGATAAGCATAAAAAAATTCAAAAAAGCAAAAAATGCAAAAAAAATAAAATAAAAAAACTTAAAAAAGTTATAGAAAGTTTTATACAAAGGGCTTTATTGTTGTTGCTTTATTTTATAAAGGGTAATTGTTTTTTGTTCTTATTTTTTTTTTGTGTTTAGGTTTCATATTAAGTGTTTTCATGCTAATTATTTAAAAAAATATACAAAAAACAATTGCCCTTCATAAAATAAGGCAAGAACAAAAAAAAAGCCTTTTGTGTTTATTGGAAATATTTTTTTATTATTTTTTTAAGTTTTAATTTCATTTTTTTTAATTATTTTTTTATTACCAGAAAGATAAAGATGTGTGCTATTTAAAACAGTGAACAAAAATCTGTTTTATTAAAAATGACGTCACAACTCAAAAACGAATGTCACTATAATGTGAAAATATAGCATTTAAAAAATAAAATCGACCTATTCAAGAATTTTTTGAAAAACTACCACAAAGATATGAATTTTGTTTTTTACTTTTGGTTCAGTATGTACAAGTATTAGCTATTATTAGCAATTGAATAAAATTTAGGCTAAAAACAATGTAGGTATTTATAATATGAACTTATATCAAATTCAGAAGCATATTACTATTATTATTTTTATATCATAACATTTTTTTTATTTGATTAAATGTCCATCTTTTGTTTTTTTTATATTTAAATTTGAAACCTTTCAGTAACATTAGTTATAGTAAAAAAATAAACGTGTATTATACAAAACTGCAGAACTGTTCAAGCCTCACTAAAAATTTTGAGCGCCCCACATAAAAATTGTTCCTAGCTACTCGCCTGGATCATCATTAATTAAAATAAAATAAAATTCTTGTACCTAAATAATAGGATAACTTACGTAGTTTGTCTTCATTATTTGAAACGTAATGAATTTAGTTTATTGCTTGTTTTATCAGGGTTATTGGAGTTAATTCCCTAAAAAGAAAATAACAATGTCTAGTTTCAATGACATCGAGTTCAAGTGAACCGAGTATGAGCCACTATGAGGTTCGTTTTACTTTCACTTCTTCATTTCCTTCGTTCGTTAAGTGGGAGCACTAATAACAATTCTGCCTTCAGAAGTAGTTACTTTGCTACACCTGCAGTTTGCAGGTGGTGCTTTTGTTTGTTTTTATTATCTCAGTGTCTGTTATGATTTGTGTTCATTTTTGTAGACGTTATTCAGTGTCATCACAAAACCATAACAAAAACATTGTTGAGCAAGGGAGATTATTACTATTATTTTATTTGGCTCCTAAATAGTTGCTGTAATGTCGTGCTGTCAACAATCTAATTATAAGATGTCAAAAACACAAAATGTGATGTTGAGAGTGACCATAGTAATGGGAATGATGGTGGCAGTAGTGGCGGTTTTGTACCTTACCCCCTTACCAGGTATTTTACGTTTTGTGCATTACCTTTGAAGTTGAGTGATAAAGCTTGGTTATGGAAATTTGGAAACTTTTTTTTCTTAATTTTTATTCATAAGAAAAAGAAGTGGAAAATGAATGAATACACCGTCACTTTTTTATAATTGTGCTTCTTGATAGTTTTTGATACATAAAAAGTATGGCTTGCTTAAAGTATTTTTTTTTTTGGAAAAACTAATTGATGAATGATAAAGTAAAATAAAAATGTGATGTTTTATCAAGAATATAATTTTTCAAAATTTTCTTTTGATTTTAAGTTCTACAATTTTTTGTATTTTTTTAATGGCAACCCACTATAAAATTTTCATGAAGGTTATGATCTAAGGATTACAACTATATACTACTTTATATTTAATTAAAAAAATTACATAAATTGCAATTTTGACCAAAAAATTGCATCTCAAAAACAAAACAAAATTTCGTTCTCAAAATACGATCACATTTTTATATTACTTTAATTTTCTTAATTATTATTTTCTGGAGGCAAACGATTAAAAAAATCGCTTAGTTCCATAGTTATATTTACCCTGTAAGTTGACAGTTTTCAAGATTGAACTTGACCGACAGAAATTGTAAACATGTAAACAATGTTTTTTTTAAGTTAAGCGTTTCATTGTTTTAAAAACAGTTAAAATTAGCACAACAGCTGCGAGAAATAAAGTGTCATTTCATTAGAAAAAAGAGGTAAAAATTTTACAGCATTTTTTCAAATACCAACGAATTCTGAAACCTATTTAAAATCTTTTTTTTTTTACAAATCTACCATTTTTTATATCTCAGAAAATACATATAATCATGTAGATATTGACAAGCTTATTTTTTTACCTTAACGCTATATTTTATTACTTTTATTTGTTATATTACACAAATAATTTTTGTTTACATTTCTATTGTTTCTCAGATTTAATATTTTTTAATGGTTTGTTGTTCGAGTAATGAGGTTACTTATTCGTGAAAGGGTTAATTTTCAAATAAGTTTTAAGAGATGTTATCATTAATTTGCATTCGTGATTTATTCGTGTGTTTGCTACTTTAAAAATCGAAGCCATAATCACCCTTGTCACACTACACTTTTTATTGATAAAAATAGGGTCAAATGTCTTTTTGTAAGGTGTGACATTATAAAGGTGGTTTCACAACATATTCGTAAAAGTTTATTCACATATACATTTTTAAATAAGAATGTTTAAAAAATGTAATAACTAGATTAATATTATGAAATTTTATAACTATAATTAATAAATTAACACTTTAATAACACCTTCATTTATCGTAATCACTAATCAACTTAACGTTATTCACTCAGACCAGTCAGTATATACAGGGTGATTTTTTTATAAAAACGAGCCACCCTGGATATGTTAGAAAAATAAACAAAACTTAGAGAATCCCAGACAGGTCAATTTTTGTTTACAAGAGGACAATATTTAGTGTACTTTTCAAATTTGTATTACCTACCCCTTTGGTAATACAGACAATCCCTTCAAAATTTTAAAGGGCACCACCCCTCTTGTGATAGTTTAAATGAAATATATTTTGACCAAGAATTCGGCTGTGTTTTTTTTTTTAGTTTCGATTGTTTTTTTATAAGGTTACATGGTATTTAATCTGATGGTAATATTAATGTAGTATGAAAGCCGCAGAACAAAATTGAAGGTTTAGTTTTTAACTAAAATTAAAGTGACATTTTCTGTTATGAAAATACGGCACTCCAAAAACAATAACAAAAAAAAATATAGACAATTATAAAAAGTATCAAAAATACTCAAAACATAAACAAAACAGCCGAGTTCCTGGTCGAAATACCTTTCATTTGAGGTATCACAAAAGGGGTGGCGCCCTTCAAAATTTTAACGGGGTTATTTGTATTACAAAGGGGGTTGATGTTACAACTTTCACGAGTAAACTAAAAGAGTGTCCCCCTGTAAATAAAAATTGTTTGTTTATGTTTTGGGATTTTCTAATTTTTGTTTACTTTTCTGAGATACTTAGGGTGGCTCGTTTTAAAAAAAAATCACATTGTATATAGGTTTTACCTACACTGGCGCTCTTATCACAGTATTATTAACATGCAAAACAAAAATTGTAACCTATTTTTCTAAGTTTTTTATGCAAATTTTACTTGATATCAGAACCTGATTTATTGTTTTTATTTTTTTTAACTTTAAAAAATTGTAATTTGTTTTTTATTAGACTTCCAGTATAATTTTTTTTATGAAAATAGTCAAGGGAAAAGTGCGTAATTCGATATACATGCAAGGTGAACAAAAAGTGTAAGACTAAGAAGAGTGCGATTTGTTTCGAAATGGCAACTTTTAAAGGAAATTTTTTTCGATAAAAATTAAATAGAATGTAGATAGTTGTAATCCTTAAATTATAGTCTTTGTAAAAAATCGTTTTTATAGTGAAAAAATGCAAAACTCGAAAACTAAAACAGATTTCGAAAAATTCCATTATTGAAAAACGATCAAATGTCCAAATTATTTTTTGTGTAAAGTAGGAGTAGTTTATGCAAAAATCGCTTGGTTCCATACTTTTTGTTCAGCATGCAAAACACACAAACAAAAAAAATTAAGCCAAAAAATGTTTTCGCACAAAAGAAACACAAAAGAGCAGCTCTAGTATCAAATTGTTTAAAAATGTGTTTAAAACTTTTCGTACAAGTTGTGAAACAGCCCACAAAAGTGTTACCAAAACAGTTAAATTTCTATATTTTTAGAGGGAACATTTTTGAGCTGTGATAGACCTTGCCATGACCTAGATTGGCCAATGATATGCCGTATAAAAATTCAAATTGAAAATAGAAGGTAATATAACTCACATTCTCGTCATTTTGTACCAAATTACTATTTTATGTTAGGTCTTGTAAAGATTGTTCCTTCAATGACACATCCTCCGAAGTCATCACAGTTAATGGCCAAAGTCCAGGTCCTGCGATCCAAATATGCCAAAACGACATTTTAGTAGTGGATGTAGTCAACAAAATGCCTGGGCATAGTGTAACAGTGCACTGGCGAGGGCAACCAAACACTGAAGCACCCTTCATGGACGGTGTTCCTCTAGTGACCCAATGCCCAATCCTCAGTTACACAACATTTCAGTACAAATTTCGAGTCAGTGCCCCAGGAACACACCTGTATCAGGCATTTTCCGACAACGAACTCCACCGTGGCTTATTTGGTGCCTTGATTGTCCGACAACCTGAAAAAACTGATCTTCAACGAAAATACTACGATGTAGACTCAAGAAACCACGTAGTTCTGATTTCAGAAAGGGATAAAAAAGTGCTAGTCAATGGAAGAGGCCCATCTGAAGTGGCAAAATTCACAGTGAAGCGAAACAAACGTTACCGGTTTAGAGTGGCCTTTACTGGGGGTAATTCTGGATGCCCTGTGACCCTCAGCGTCGATAATCACCCCATCAAAATAATTGCTTTGGATGGAAATCCTGTTTTTCCCACTGAAGTGACTTCTGTAGTTTTGGGGAAAGGCGAAAGGGTCGATTTTGTCCTGAAAACCCACCAGAAAATAAAAAGACATTATGTGAGGGTGAAGTCATGTGTGGGCGAAGGGTTAGCCCTGTTGAATTACGAGGGCGGGGAAACAACACAAACGAGCAAGGAACAAGAAGGGAGGAGTCTTGATACGGCACTTTGCCAAAGCCAAATTGGGAAAATATGTTTAAGTGATTTGAATTTTCTTGAAAAAATGCCAGAGTCACTCAAATCTAATCCAAAGGTCGTATATTTGTCTCTCGGGTCCAAAATCGTAAATGTTAATGGTAAGATATGGCTCAAGTAGGTTAAGAGAGAAAGTGCTGTGATGGAAAAGTGAGCGAAAGCGGTGTTATGTAAGACAATAATATTTTTTTTTAGGTAATTTTGACTCAAGAGTTTTCGGTGTCAATAATTTAACGTTCACTTATCCCTCGTCTCCCTTGTTAACCCAACTGGATCGAGTTGTTATGAACACCGTTTGCGACGAGATAAATGTGCCTGAAAAATGTGCAGGGAAGGAAGTTTGCGAATGTGTTCACGTGGAGCACATTCCTCTACGATCGGCCGCCGAAATTGTGCTTATTAACCAAGGTCGGATTTACTTTCATTGAAATAAATTATTAGCAAACATTTTGAACCACGGAACCCAGAGTTTGATAATACACTACTCCAAAAAATTAAAGGAACAAAAAATTTTCCTAAATAACTTTTTGGTGATTTTTGAAAGGCTGTAACTCATCGAAAAATGGTCGTATCTAGATATAAAAAAAGCCGTTTTGAAGCTTCAAGTTTGTAGTTTTGAGATTTGGCAAATATTTTTTCTGTGCTACGGTTATAACGCAATCGTAAGTAATAATGGCGCGAAAGAAAAAAATCATTTTTTTTTTGTTTTTGGTCCACGGACGTGGGGAATTTTTTTAAGTTAAGTTTATGTATAGGCCGGATAACATGTTTGTTGACCTTTAATATGCTTTTTTCTTATTCTCTTTACGTCAATTTTTCGCTGAGATAAAGGATCCTTTTGTCTTTGGTCATCGATATCTCAGCAACCAATGACCACACAGAGAATATAAGGGTAGTGTCAAAAACTGGAATAAATGTCTTATAAGATTCTCTTATTGTTTTTTGAAAAATATTTTTTTACCCTCAACATTAATCAAAGTTACTTTTTTCTCTTTTCTTTAAATCAAAGAAAAGAGAAAAAAGTAACTTTTTGCATGGTTTTAGTAAATCTACCGTGTATTCACTAATATTGATGAGAAGATTAATGTTTTTATTATAGCCCTCTAAATTTTTAAATCGATCCATTGACCGATTGATAAAAGAATTAAAGGAATAATTACACAAAATGTTTCTGAACATTGCCTAATCTTCATCAAAATGAAAAAAACAATTTTTTTTTTCGACTTTTGTTACAATTTTGCATTAGTTAACTTAACTTTTACTTAGGATTGCGTCCTAACAGAAAAAAAAATGCCAGAGGATCTCAAAAATAGAAACATAAAGCCTAAAAATGTTTTTTTTTTAATCTAGATACGACCCTTTTTCAAAAATCACCAAAAAATTTAGGACGGTTTTTTGTTCCTTTAATTTTTTGGAGTAGTGTAGATAGAAATTTTTGGAAATTCTTTTTTGTTTGACATCATCATAACCTTTGTCCGAAAAAAAAAAATCATAGTGGGTTGTCAATTAAAGATATTTTATTAGCTTTTAAGTCGAAAATTAACTTGAATCAAAGTTTTTCAACAAAATAAATCCTTAAATAATTCTTCCAAAATAAAGCAATTTGAGCTATTTCCAACCCAATTTCGATCGATTTTCATTCAAAATCAATGTATTTTATAAAAATAATTGCTTCAATCCCAATTTTTAGCCTGAAATGAAGCGATTTGTGCTATTTTCAATCGATTTGGCTCAATTGTGAGCCGGAAATCAATCTGAATCAAAGTTTTTCAACAAAATAAATCCTTAAATAACAGTTTTCTGACAAAATAAAGCAATTTGAGCTATTTCCAATCTAATTTTGCTCGATTTTATTACATAAATCATTATAAATTAAAGTTTTTTTTTTTTATAAAAATAATCACTTATTTTTGGTTGTTTTTAAAACTAAGCGGTTATTTGCACTTTCAGATGCGAGCCAGGAGGAGCACATTTTCCATTTACACGGCTACCGCTTTTATTTGGTTGGTTTTCGGCAGTTTGAAAGCACACCTTCAACCGAAGAAATAAAACTGTTAGATCAACAAAACGCATTATTTAAACGGAATTTCAACAATCCAGTTTTAAAAGACACTGTTCGGATCCCAAAAAACAGCGTCGTTGCTTTAAGATTCTTGGCGGACAATCCTGGTTAGTTTTTCAGTAGTTTTAAGTGAAATTATAGTTATGATTTTTAGGTTTTTGGATGTTGAGAGATGAAGGATCCAGAGGTTGGACAAGGGGCTTAGATATTGTTTTACAAGTTGGTGAACCTAGTGATATGGTTTCCAGCCCCACAGATTTCCCAACATGTGGAAATTACATTGGTCCTGATTTCTTTTTGATGTAAGACTGTGTTTCTAACGTGATAATTACAAAAGAGTTTTTTTTTTCTCACTCAAGTCATTGTACAGTAGTTTATGTTTAAGATTTGTGTAATAAAAATTCTACAATAAAATTGTTACTTCATTTGTCCCTCCCATTTTACAAAACTTTGTTTTAGTTTGTAAATTATAATATTTTTTCGTAACAAATAACGCAAGTTTGTTGGATATAAAGTAATCAAATTAAAATCGGCAAAGTAATCAAATAGACATCAGGGACAAGCGGACAAGGTCGCAGGCATGTGCTGACACACGTGCAAGTGAGGAAGGTCAGTTTTTCGCCAATGAAACAACAAAATGTGCATAGAAGATGTTTTTTGAAAAGTTGCGTGCAGGGTTCTTCATCTCAGCCCCGGTCTTCTGTTATTATACAGGATGGCCCAAAAATAAGTTACAATACAAACTTATGTTTTTTTAAATGAAACAACATATGTATGTTTCTTGGCATTTTTGAATGTAGCTTTTAATTTCAATATTTTTACGCTAAACTTTTATTAGTCGATTTTGCTTAGTTTTTGAATTAAGTTGTTGTTTTTGGTGAAAACATCCTATTTTTAAAAAATTATTAGACGAAAGTTAAGACAGTTAGAAAAAAAAAATACCATTGCAAAGAGGAAAGTACGACGTTTAAGACTACAATTTTTTTAACGTATTGCAGTCGAAAAATTAAAAAAAAATGTGGATGTTTGTTAAAAAATAAATAACTTAAAAAAATTGAAATGGAACACCCTATTTTTTATTTTTGTAGATCATATAACTACCTACTACACTAGAGTGTTTAAATGCATTTTAAAGCGTTTTTTTTTTCATTTGTCATCATAGTAATTAAAGTGTTATAAGAAATGTGATCTCACTTTGGGAATATTTTTGTTTTGTTTTTGAGTTATGCAATTTTTATCCTCAAAATGGCAAAATTGTTTTAGATAAAAATTGAAAAAAATGTAAACACTTGTAATCTTTATCTGAGGTCATAATCTTATGAAATAATTCAAAAAGTTTTATTCATTTTTGATCAATTCGACTCTCCCAAAGAAAACTATAGTAACACAAAAATTACAGTTACAGAGAAAAATTGCATTGAATCTTTGATTGTTAATAAAAAATCAAGAGCTGTTTAATATTATTGAAAATTGCTGAGGGTCTAAATTTCTCAAATAATTGCTTATTCAAAGAAAATTTTTCTCATTGTTTTTGTATTTTGGGCCCTACATGAGTCATCGTAACTTAAAAAAAAAATATGAGTTACTATAGTTTTCGTTGGCAGAGTCAAAAAAATAATATTTTAAGCAAAATACGTTTGATTCTATACTGTTTGTTCATCTGGTAACGTATTCCATTGACATTTTTAAAAACATTGCGATTCTTTAAAAGGTCGTTTTAGTCTAGCAACATACATTTTTTGAGAATTTACAAGTTTTAGTTTAAACAATATATATTATTAAATTATTTGTTAAAAAGAAGAATACGTCTATTACCACGTCCGTAGTGTACCTTTTATTAAAAAAAATCGTTTAAATATGTTGATTTGTTCTTAAGATATTTTTTTTTTGGTACAATGTGCTTAATTTTGTACATACCTCTTTTTTCAACATAAATTGAAAAAATAAAAAACGGTCAATAAATTTAGAAAATCGGAAACAATGGGATTTGAAAGTGATCGTTTTGGTGTGAAATTTCGAATTTCGAAACTTCTATTTCGAATAAAACTTCTTAATTTAGTTTTAGTTCCAAAAAACTCTCTCTCCTTTCTATTTTTATTATTAAAATTTTGCCAGATGTGGTCTGGTGGCTTTTTCTGCTTTAATTGTATTGAATCGAAAAGTTGCAAACTGTAATACCTCACTAATGGTATTAATAGCTTTTGGTAGCGTTCTTTTACATTTAGTTCAGTAGCAAATCGCATTGCGCAGACAACGCGCTCAAAGACAACAATATAAAATCAAGGCGCCCCCCGCCAGAAACGTGTAGTTTCATTCAAATTGGTGGAATTCAAGTTCAAATTTTAGGTAAGAAGTTTCTCTATTTAATTTCGATAACATTATTATTTCTATTTAATAATAATAAATAATACCAGATCAAGATTTATCTTTGGAAAAAAATCTTAATAATATTCAGCTATTCAGTTTGACATCCTTACATTGCAGGTGAGTTCTAAAGTTAATAATTGTTAATTAATAATTAATAGGATTCAAATATTGAAATACAAAATTTTCATGTCACATTTTTTAGTTGCTTTGCTTTAGAGATTTACAAGAATTTAGCAGTTGTGAAACATTTTTTGCTGTTTCTTGTAAAACAAATACTTTAATTAATTGATTTTAGAAACATTTCCTTGTAAAAGTCAGAATAATAATATGTATACTTATATCACTATTGTTGCAGTAGCCAATGCAATTATTTTTACGGCATTCTTTTTGTGTAACACAATCGAAATTATTTTTAAACAAACTTGGGGGTATATTAGAAATCAAATAAATTTTTTGGCATGCTACCATGCCAAAAATGCTATTTTTGTGTTATTTTTGAAGTTCATTAAAACCATTCTAAATTTAAATAAAAAGTGAAAGTATTGACCACTGAATCTAAACCAAAATTTATTTTCTGATTATAGTTTTTACGAGTAAATTAATGAAAATTCATTAGTTTCAAAGTAATGTACTTATCTATTTTAATAATATGGGAATGACCTTTGTCGTGGACATGTGTGTTTCATTACAAATACAGAGAAATTGTTTAAATCGATTTTAATTGACAGACTAGTTATTTATAAAAGATAATCACAGTTGATTCATTTTAACTATCATTTCAATAATTGAATCCAGTTTCATGCTCTTACTGACGTACAGTCAGGGACAAAATAAATGACACCCCAATCGTATCGACCATACACCCTGTGTATGATTGTGAATAATTGTAACAAAAAATCTGCCTTGAGGTGCTGTTATTAAGATAAATTCGTATTGGTCAATTTTGTTTAGTTTTAAATAAAAAAAAGATTTCTTACGACTACCAAGAAGAAAGTACGAGAAATATTATCTCGAAAGCTATAATAATAATTTTTTGATTGTAATGCGCTGAAAAAAATATCGTAGGTTTATTAAAGTTTGTACTTTATTCTTAGAGTAGCGAAAATTTTGATTCTCCAGTATTTTTATTTTTGTCTCTTTAGAATTTTCATACCATGCATTGATTTGCAACAGACTAAAATAACTCAACAGACTTTATGAGAGAAAAAAATAGTTTTACTCGCCAAATAAATTACATTTAGCCTTGAACTTGACCAAAAAAATGTAAAAAGATAATATGATCTCTAAAGTTAACAATTTTATTATTTTGTTTTTAAAAATCTAAGTTAAAAAAAGTATCGTAAATAACACTTTTGTTTAATTTTTTTGACAAAATTTACTTGTTTCAAATGCCAGAGATTGTAGCAATGTAAACTTTCGAATGAAGAGATTTTTTTTCATTTTCTTTTAATTTCTGCTACAACTCTTGTATTCGGAAATGTTACATGATTTATAAACCAAATAAAAAATAAGCAAGACACCTAGAAAAGATGTTTCATCAGTCACCCTGTGTAGTGTCTGAAATTCTCACAATTTCAGAAGTTTTCAGTAATGTCAAACGAATGGGGCAGCGAAATTGAAGCAATGCCGTCCGAAAAGGAACTATTTATGAAAATTAAAATGCTTGAAAACAATATGCAAGAGAGGAAGTTGGTAACCTATAAGCAGGCCCAAGACAACGACCGGGACAGAGGCGGCTGGGGAAATAAACTCGACTTTCTTTTTTCTTGTATTAGCTTGTCTGTCGGTTTAGGGAACGTATGGAGGTTTCCTTATTTGTGTTACAAAAACGGCGGAGGTAAAAAAAAACATTAATAAAACACTCAATATCTTGCGTTTTCAGGAGCTTTTATAGTTACTTATACCATTGCAATGATTGTGTGTGGAATACCGATGTTTTTTCAAGAAGTGGCAATCGGACAGTATTTAGGATCAGGAGGAATGACTTTTGTAGGACAACTCTGCCCTATATTAAAGGGTGTAGGCTATGCAGCTATGACCATAGTGTTCCTATTAGATGTTTACTATTGTATTATTATATCATGGACAATTTTTTACTTAATGAGTATGTTTTCGTATTTACCAGTTTTACCATGGTCTGGTTGTGGTAATAACCAATGGCTAACTCTCTTAGACCCTCATTGATTATAAATTATATGCTTTAGATAACTGGTGGAACACCGCAGAATGTTTTTCTTCTGTAAATAATTCCACGTCGAATTTAAACTTCAATTCCAGCAAATTTTCCACTTCTGTTGAAGAATATTTTGAGTAAGTCTCAAGTTTTTACAATCATGTTATTTGACTGAAAAATGTGCTATGTAGTTCAAAACTTTTGAAGACTGTGTCCTTTAATGTTGATTTCAAAGATAAAAAACAAAGCGATTTATTGAGGACCTGATTTTGCAAGTTTTCACATCGGTTTTTGATGAAATTCTAAAAATAAGAGGTTTTTGTAATAATTGAAGCCAAATGGAAAAAAAAACAAACTAAAACCTGATTTGTGAACACAACTTTAAAATTCTAATATTTTCTTTTAGATTTCTTGGCACCACTCCAGTTACAATTAATTATTGTCTTTCTTTATGTTCTTTCTTTCATTAGCAAGGATCATGTAGTTTGAGGTTTTGATAATAAAGGGTTAATAATATTATTTTTCAGGCGTCGTGTCCTTGGGATTTCTTCGGGAATCGAAGATATTGGTGGAATACAGTGGGGTCTGTTTGTCTGTTTAGCACTTGGCTGGATAATAGTTTATGTTATTATAAGGAAAGGACTGCACCAAAGTGGAAAGGTAATGAGAAAAGTCTGAATTTGCAGCACCATGTGCATAAATGTATTTGTGTTAAGTTAAGTTGGTTTTTATTGTTTTATTTTACTTTAATATCATGATCTATGTAGTACAAGGGTGAATCAGTATTAATTTATCCGTACTTGTAAGTCTTTATTTAATAACAAAATATACAGGGTGATAAAGTTTCTTGATAAACATTAAAATTCATTAGTTCTTCTGAAACCACTTATTTTTATAAAATTTAACAGGCTTTGTGAGCCAATAAAAGCGCGTATTTTCTGGCAATTGCTTTATTTTTACTCTTGTCAGTGGCGGGCACATCAATGAATAATTTATTTTTCTCATTTCAATTTTTATTTTTTTATTAGTGCGTTATTTTTCGACATAGAATTTGTGGTTGCAATTTTTTGCAATATTAAGAAAACACCCTGTATATACTCTTTGTTTTAGAATGCATTTGGTCCAGCGGTCAACTAGTACGTTATTGTAAAATTTATTGTCAAAACAAACAAAAAATATTTTGTTTTGGCTAGAAAAAAAAACGAGTTAACTCCTGAAAACATAATTTCTTTGCCTACAGGTTGTCTCATTTTTGAGAAAAAGTTATTTATTAGTAGGTATTTATATTGCAAAACCTGCTTTGCATTGTGTCTACGTCCTGTTCTGCCCTTAGGGACTATATTGAATTGAAATCAATAAATAGAGAACCGACAAAGTTAAAAGTTAGTAAAGTTTAAAAACAAATTATTGTTATACTTTTCTTAAATAAAAAAATGATTAAATTTCTTAATCCTTCTTTATTTTATAACAAAGTATAAAGTTTTTACTTTCAGTTCATCCGTTCTTTATTTCTCTATGTTCGTTCGTGTTTAAAAATAATTATGTTATTAGGAGTAAAAGCTCAAATTTATTTTGCGAACGTAGTGAGGCAAATAATTCAGCTCAACCATATAAACTCACTTTTACTTCAAATAAATAATAAAGAAACATCACGCGTCAGTATCGGAATTTGTGTTGAGATATTCAAAAGTGTTAATTTAACTAGGGGATGACTAGTGCAGTTAGTAGCGCAAAATGTCGATTATTGATGATCTACAATATACTTCTCCAGAAATTGTCGAAGCAGTGAAAGAGGCAAGAAAGATACAGCATTGGTAAATGTCAATAATCTCATAGTAAAAGTAAAAACGCTTAGGCGCAAAAGTATCTTAATTTTTACTCCATGGCTGAAACTTTTACATAACACTTAATTATAAAAGTGGTCACTTTTGTCACGTTTACGGATAAAATTATTTGCAAGTGTATTTTAATAAATTTTTGGTCTTTGTTAATTTTCTTTAAACCATAAAATAGTGTTGCCAATGATTAATGTAGATGTATGAAATTTTGCATAAATTCGTAATGCTGTTGATACTGAAATATTGCAGATAATTTGGTTTACGGCTTTATTTCCATACGTCGTCCTCCTGATTCTTCTGGGACGTGCTGTAACTTTAAAAGGGGCCAGTGACGGGCTTTTTTACTTTATAATGCCCAGATGGGAAAAATTACTAACACCTGGGCCTTGGATGGATGGTGCTACGCAAATATTTTTTGCATATAGTATAGGTTGTGGAGCCTTGCCGGCTTTGGGCTCCTATAACAAGTTCCATCATAACTGTTACAAGTAAGTGTTGTTTAGTGTAATCAGCAAAAATAATAATTTAGCAAAAATTTAAAAATTCATGTCTTTGACCCGGCAAATAATAAATTTTATTTAGGCATGTAATTTATTCCTTTTACACGAATTTTTTTGCATTTTGATCAGTATGTAATTGTAATCTTGTTGTTGGTGGTTTTTCACCATTTAAAATATGTTGTCTTAATACTGAATCAAAAACACAAAAAAATACAGAAAAGTTGTAATAAGCCATATTGATTTCCTATGGGTAAAAATAACCACCAAATTCCCATGTCAGCAAGTTTTCAGACAATTTTTACAAAGTACACATATCGAAAATACGTATTTATATATGATTCCAGTGTAATAATGATGTTAATCTGCCGTACCAGGTTTTCAATGATACTCATTCGGAATCTTTCAGAGATTCTTTGATTACATGCGTCATAAACACTCTGACTTCCTTATTAGCTGGGGTTGTGACATTTTCGATTCTTGGTTACATTGCTGCCGAGCAGAACGTAGACGTGGGACACGTCGTCAAAACCGGCCCAGGATTAGTCTTTCTTACTTATCCTGAAGTGGTTCTCAAAATCCCTGGAGCACCTTTTTGGGCAGCCACTTTTTTTATTATGCTTGTGGTAAGATTTACCGTTTCCCGTTTACAAAGAGTTTAAAACTCTGTTTATAGATTTTGGGTATTGACAGCGAATTTTGCTTAGTTGAAGCTTTCATCACCGGAATTGTGGATAATTGGTCGGAGCAGTTAAGACCGCATCGAAGTCGATTAACCGTGATTGTCTCCTTGTTAATGTTTCTTTTAGGAATTCCAATGGTGACCAACGTAATAGCCAATTTATGATTTTGGTTCGCTTTTTACTTCAGTAGGTTTTAGGGAGGAATGTATATTTTCCAGTTGATGGATTATTACTCAGCAAGCGGAATATCTTTGCTATGGGTGTGTTTCTTCCAATCACTAGGAATTTCATGGATTTTTGGAGTTGATAAAATCAATGATTGTATCAAGCAGATGGTGGGAGTCGAGCCCAATAAATATTGGACTATTTGTTGGAAATATTGCGGTCCTCTAATTATGATTGTAAGGCCTAGGGCAAGTGATGGTATTACTGCGGCCAATCCTAAAACAGAGTTTTTAAAAATATATCACAAAAATATAAAAAAATTCAACAAAATATTATTTATAAGAAAAGAAAAAAATTCTGAAAAAATTGATTTAATAAAAAGTGTTACAGTGTCGAAAACTAAGAGAAAAAATATTTTAAGAAAACAAGTTGTTAAAAGAGAGAACCAAAAAAGAAAAAAGCTGAAAGACAAGAAAAAGAAGTAATGTTGGAGTAAAGATAATACAAAAAAATAAGAAAATTGCTTCTGAAGTTAGTCACTTTTTGTTTTCAAAAATGTCTTCATTGGTATATTGGTAATTTATTTTAAGTTTTGTAACCACATTACTCAGGTTTCACGATGAAATCCACAGTAGTACCATCATTTAGCCTCTCAGCAGTTCAATTGCAAAAAAAAACTGTTTTTACAATGCAGGTAATCTTTACTGGACACTGTATTGAATATACAAACGTTACTTACGATACTTACAAATACCCAAAATGGGCGGAATATATTGGGTTTGGATTGAGCTTATCGTCAATGGTTTGGATACCTTTATATGCTATATATTACATAGTGTCAGGCCCAGGAACTATTTTCGAGGTGAGAAACCTATTTTATTCGCAACCGTATATGTAATGTTGACATTTCAAACGTTGACGATGGTGGGAAAGTGTCTCATTACTGACCTTCTATTACTGCATCGTTTTCTAATCTCACTTTTGTCACAATTAATCCACCATTTCAATAGATTTGAAGACTAATGAGCAAAAAGTGCCTCACACATCTAGCACAAACCGTTTGTTATGTTTGTTGCCATGATGACGAAAACGGTTGGCTGATTCGGTGGATGAATCAAACTTTTTGAAATTGAAAAGAAAAATTTTTTTGAAAATTAAATATGCGGTTGTGAATAAAATTGTATACAAACCCCGGTGGAAAGTTTCATTTTTTCTCGAGATAAAGTTAACCTCGCCACAGAAATGAAACACTTTCCACCTCGGTGTGTAATATACTATTTATGAGAATGCACAAGCTGTTTTATTTTTTCACAGAATCTAAAAGCAGGTGTTCAACCCATGATTAAACAAAGAAAAATAGCAGTTTGTGACAAGAGAACCGGTCTGCCTATTACTGAGAGCAACATAGGGCTGATTTCACCTAGTCAGTCGATTATTTAAGCTTAGTGGTTTTGTGACGTTTTATATTCACGGACATTTAAGCAATTAAATATGCTGTCAGTCAGTCATGTTAACTAATTCAATTGTAAAAATTAAAAACAGAGATAAATTTGTTTGTGCAAAAAATTTTAATTGTTGGCATACCTACCTACATATCTCAAAGTGACGGGCATCGAGGAATTAAACTCTGCTATAGAAACGAATAAAGTATTAATCCAATGAGAGAATTTTTTTATTCCTATCTCTCCAAATTTTAGTATAAAGTCAAACATTTTTGTTTCTGAACTGCACAGAAAATATTTTTTGCTTAAACTATTAGTTTTTTGAAAAAACTAATCTGGAGTTTTGCAAAATTTTTAATTTTTTCAAATGGCAACCCACTATAAACCTTTTTTTTTCAACAGCTATATCAAAGGATTACAACAAACTACATCATATTATTCACTTTAAAAAAAAATCATATAAATTGCCACTTTGAAAAAAAGATCCTGCTCAATGAAAATGTGTTCAAGATGACAGCACTTCCGGCTACACCGAAAATTGGTATCAACTTCGTTATTTTAAATAGAAAGTTATGTTTTCATTGCGTTTTTGAAATATTAAGGCTTATTTGAAACCTCCAAAATTTAAGGTTACGTTTGGGAAACTTCAAATACCCGTAACTGATTTTTTTCAAATGGAAGATCCCAATTTTTTCTTCACTAAATGAAAGAGAATTTAATTCTGCATCGATCTGTATCAACATTCCCTATAACTAAATTTAATAATTTCTAAGTTTTTTTTTACAATATTACTATCCATGGTAGTTTTCGCATAGTTTGTCATGGAAATATTTCGCCAAGTTTTTTTTCATAACTGAGTTAATCTTTTCGTAAATACAAACTAAATTTATTTATTTAATCTAAATTTAAATAACTTTGATGTTCTATTTTTTTCTTATTTCAATGACAACCTATGCTAATTTAGCTATGGCTAATGAATTTCTCACAATATCAAAAGAAGTTACTATAACTTGAAAACTATCAAACATAGGGATAGGGAATACAGATCAAAGTAGAACTAAGTTCCTCTCCATTTAGTAAAGAAAAAATTGAGGTGTTTCATTAAAAAAAATTGAGTTAAGGGTATTTGAAGTTTCCTAAACGTAACTTTACTTTTTCACGGTTTGTTAATTATTTTTCCAATTATGAATACACCAAAAAAAAAAAACTAACCTTTTTCTTTCGTATACCTAAATACGGTTTCAACATAATAAAAAATCGTAGAGTTATCGATTTTTGAATAGGAAGAATCAAATCCAAAAAAAATTAAAAATGTCTAGATATTTCGAAAACGGTTAAACTTAGATATCGGGAAGGCTAATGAAAACTCTCTCAAAATCACTTGAGTAGGTAATCCAAAAACGCAATAAAAACACCTTTCTAATTAAAATAACGAAGTTAATATCCATTTCCGGTGTAACAAAAAGTGCCGCCATCTTGAAAATATTTTCATTGAGCAGGATCTAAACGATTATGGCTATAATCAAAATTTTAGATAAATATCACTGTTAGAACTCCCAATACTGCCGGAACAGCTTGTATGGCACTCTAATTTTTATTAATTATCGTTTTCTAAATGCAAATGATTTTTTAAAAACGCCTGGTTCCATACTTTTTGCTCACGTAACTATAATTAAGTTTATAACATTGAAACCATTATGGCAGCAAGAAATTGCTGTTGTAATACGAGACACTGGAATACAGTGTTTTAATTAAAAAAAATACATTTTGTTAGGGTATTTCCATAATATCGACAGGTACTGATTCCATATTTTCGCTTAGATAACCATTTTGTGTGCTGTTATAATATCAGATATCTTTTGAAGCCATTCATTATTCATTGTGCTTTTCAACATAAATTGCTTCTTTGGTGAATTTAAGTTGGAGTTTCATTCTATAAGCATGATGCGATTGAAATGAAAAGGGAATCGATTTTACCCAATGTTAATAGTACGAATAAGCTTAGTAACTTATTTAATTATAAGAAAAATATTTTTTCTATCTTCGATAATCTAATAACAAATTGCAGTCTTGTCCAAAGGACGACTTTATTTGATTAATCGGTTTGCTAGTTGCTATTTATCTTGATTAGTCAGGCTTGTATGTGACTCCTGGAAATTGTATTATCCTGTTTGTTTTAACAATTCTCTTCGCTTATCGATTACTGGGTTAGATTGTATTCCTGTTTATATAATACCTCAGACGTAAGGCTTGTCTTACAAAAGTTCATGTAAAACTAACTTTTTTTATTGCTAAAAGACCTAATTCATCCCTATTTAAAAGAAATATTTTTTCGGAGTATAACATTTAATTAAAATTAACCAAAATTCGTCCAATTTACACATGTCCTATTTAAAATCGTATTAAGGAATCGAAAACAAAATAATTGACTTTGAAGTTTGCAAGTAAGTTAAGCTAACTTTAGTAAAGTTAATTTGATAGTGAAACGGTTTTAAAAGTTTTCTTGCCTTGTGTTGTTTCCACTGCGGACATCTATCGCCATTAGGTGGTAAATTTAAATTAAACTTTATTTTAAGATGGATTATTTTAGGTAAAATGAATTGAGTTGCCAGTTCAAGTTCAACTTCCATAATACTCTGTCACAAAGTTGACTAAATCCTGTGTAGGTATGTTAAATGATCCTTTTGCAACGTCGCCGTCGCGCTTTGATATGTGAGCAGCTCTTATCGGTTGCTTTGAAACTTGTTCACTCAACACACCTCCCTCGTAATTCAATGTTGGCAAATTGGGAAACTACTGAACAAAGTCAGCTAGTCAGCGAGCGCAGGCCGAAATTTAATTTACAAATTTTATGTGATAATAATTAAAATTCAAAATTATACGTGTATCATCGCATAGGTATAATTAAATCAGATATTTTGCTTTATTAACTAAATTTGAAACCATGGCTTCATTAACTTTAATTGAAAGTTCACGAAATATTAAGTTGAAACTGAAACTGTAAAGTGCACTAAATGGCCTATAGAAAATGTAATCCCTGAATTTTTAATTAAGCATAAATTTCATTATTTAAGCCAATAAAAGTATTAGAATTACAAGCAATAACAACGAATATATATGTCATTCTAAAGATCACTTGTTACGAACATTTGATCTAAACTAGATGCGATAGGAAAGTCGAATCTGCTTTTGTTATGTAAAAGCATTCATCTTTATTGAAAGGGAGGTCTCAGGACTCTCAGGTCTTTACTTTTTGGAATTTACAAGAACTGCACGTTCGCTCTATTTCCTCCACTTCGTTTTTAAGCTGCAGATGTGTGCATGCAGATATGGAGTATTTGAATACCACTAAAGTGGTGCTTGTGCTTTATTAAAATTATTGAATAAAATTTTGAGTATATCTGATAAGTACTATAACATGATAGTGATATAATAGATGAGTATACAGAGTGAGTCGTTAGTGAGTGTTTTTTGCTTTAAACTATTTATTTTTGATAAGTATATTTTATACAGGATGTTCTCTCTAAACCGCACATAACAGGTATTGTTCTGATGATATCTATCTAAAAAATTATAAAGTGAACAAAAAGTTTGGAACCAAATGTTTTTTTTTCCATTTACCTACAGAAAATAATAATTAATAAAAATTAAAGTGCTATAAAAATGTGATCTTGTTATGAGAATTAATTTTGTTTTGTTTTTGAGTGTTTTTTTTTAAATCGCAACTGTATAAAAAAATTATTACGATAAAAATTGAATAAAACAGAGACAGTTGTAATCCTTATTAGATCATAGTTTTTGTAAAAAAAAGTTTTGAAGTAGGTTGCCATTAAAACAATTAAAATGTTGAACAAATTTCTTCTCAAAGCACACATTCTTAGTACTTTATCAATTATTAGTGTACTACTTTATCAAAAAAATATAGTTTAAGCAAAAAACGCTTGGTTCCTGGTATATACGTACTATTTTAGATGGCGGTATCTCCGGTTATACCGGAAGTGGCTATCAAAGCTGTGTTTTTCGATTACTCAAGTTTTTGATGAGATTTTTGTCGGTGTTTCTTATAAATAAATTAAATGAAATTACAAGTAAATTAGAAATTATACAGGGTGCACCAGAACTCGCGCTTCAGAGAAAAATCACATGCAAGGTAAGAAAAAACTCTATATACAGGTGCGCCAGAACTCGCGCCCCAGAGAAAAATGCCATATAAGGTAAGATACCAGGAACATGGAAAAAATATTTAAAAAAAAATATCTATAAAAATTTCAAAGTTATGAGGGTTTGAAGTTTGCACTTTGATTCTATTTATTTCTGTTGGAAAAATAATTTTCCAAGTTTTTTTGCTACAGGCTATTAGAAGAGGAAACAAGGAAGCTGTATCTTAAATTGTAACTCTGTTTAATGTTATTTGTGGCGTTTATTGTCAAAATTTTTGTACCTTTACACAATAATTAAGTATAAAAAAAACATATACAAGAACATCAGTATCATTAAACAGACATTAAGAAATGTCAAATGTCAAAAAATAAATCTCAAAATTTTTTGACAGATAGAATTTTTTTAACATTTTCTTCATGTTCCTGGTATCTTATCTTACTTGAAATTTTTCCCTGGAGCTCGAGTTTAACCGTTTTCGAGCGTTTAGATCTTTTTCAAAATTTTCGGTTTGCACTTTCCTTTTTAGAAATTCACAACTCTTATTATTATTATACTTTTTCTAGAAAAATAATCACTGCCTATATTTTAGTTTCGGTGTCACAATATGCGTCTGAAAGAAAGTTTATTTGGATACCAAAACCGATGCTTTAATGAGCCATTTCAACACCAATTCGAGTGCTGAAATAGACTAGTACAATTTACTTTCTAGAAGTTGGTAATCGTGATTTTCAGCAGCATTTTAAGCGATTTCTCTTATTTCAGGTGGTTTGCATGGAATACTTGCACTTCAACAAAATTTTGAAAAATATTCGAGACTTGACACATCGAAAATCGAAATTAGGTCAAAAGTTCCTAAATTTTTAAAAATTGACTTTTATGTTATAAAAGTACGTAAAACGCGCAATATACAAGAAACAGCATAAAAAACTTTCATAAGTCATTTGTGGGAACTTGTTTTTTTATAAAACTCGTGCTTCGCTGCTCGTTTACTACCATCAACACACAATTAAAAAAATCATAAATAAATTACAGTGAGAAAACATTTCTCA